GGGGGGGGGGGGGGACAAAGATAGACAGCATCAGAAGCTCGGTAACACAAACCTGACTTGTTTGCAGCTGATTTCAAAGGCTTCACTTCGGTTGAGGTCTCTCTCTTCTCTTCTTTGTTTGGTGAAGACAGGTGCAGATTCTGTAATGATACCTAAATCACTCACAAACCTCAAATCTTTTTAGTAGTAGCCTCTTATCACCACAAAAATAGCAAAGATTCGAATAAGTACCAATTTGATGATTTAATCATAGTTTCCACTCATTGCTTTGAATCCAAAACTAGCAAAACTTGAGGCATATATACATGAACTTTACACTTGCATAATAAGTAACATACCGGTAAGTGTAAGGAAGCCGTCGTTTCATCATTGAATAAGTTCCTGGCAGTTACAAATGCATCCCTGTGAACAAAAGTATGTTACGAAACTTAGATTCTCAGTTTCATTTCAAAACTAAAAACTCGGCAATTTACGGTGTACCTCCGTCCTGTGTGAACTTGTTTCTGATTTGTAGTGCCTTCTGCTATTGCTGATTTTTGGTGTTCAGTTTTCTTAATCGAGCTTAGACAACTTGGGGTTCTGCCCATCAGCGGAGAACGGAGTGCTGTCATTCTATGAGCGCTCTTTGTCTTGCCTTTTGATTCAAGCCAAGCTTGCAATTTCTCCGCCATGTCTACCCTAACCTTGGAAGCTTCTACCTTTGGGGTTGAAGAAACATGGTTTGAGATGTGCCTTGATCTTGCAGCCAAGCTAACGGTGCGAACAGATTCATGGTATTCTCCAGGATTCTGGAGCAACAAGAGAATAAATCATATTAGCCCCTGAAGATATTTTCTATTTGGAGCTTCAAAACCAATTTTACAAAGGATACTTATACATCTCCGTACCAGACATGCAACCATCAGAGCCTTGCTTGTCCCTCCTAGTGAATCCTGCAAGATCCGAGTCAATTTGCTTTCCCTGTACGGCACTCGAGACTGATTGTTATTCAGGGCATAAATCACATTGGATAATACAAATAATGACTGGTTGATCTTTGCACTCTCTTGAAGACGGATTCCTTCATTGCACGTCCTCCTATTGTCTTCATTACCTGATAAAACCATTAATTCAATCAATATCGAGTACAAATCATGCAAGCCAATGTGTATGTATACACAAACACTTCAATTCTACCCCTGGATTTGTTAACATCAGATGAATCTGAATAAAGCAGAGAAAATGACCTGCCAGATCAATAAGATTGATTTTTCCTATGACAAACCCTTCCGAACCAATGGCACAAGGAGAGGTCACTGAGATCACAAGCACCCCGTGACTCCTACTTGAGACATCGTTCAGACCAGTGTGTGCGACTTTCCGTCGCTGAATTCCACACGAGTAGGCCTCATGAAACTCAGACATCGAGTTGACTGGGACACGAGACAGTCCCTTAAGATGCACTTGTCCGTCCTTGTCATCCCAAATAGCAATTTCTTTGGCTTTAACTTCTAGGAGATCCCAGCATCTGTCCAAATAAACTTCATAATAGGAGATTTCTGCTTTAGCCCCCATCTTCTCGCACATAGACAGAACCGTAGACATGGTCAACGGCATCAGGCCTGGCAGCTCATCGGTCCCCTATGATGTCAAAGGGTTAAACTACATAGGTGTACAAATTGAACATCAACATCTTCCCATTTCTTCCTAATTCCTATGCTCTTTTGTCTGAAGGTCTTTGTTGTCTATGTAACTAACTAAACCGTTTAACCCATTTTCCCAGGGATTTTCAGATCACCTCCTCTATGACCAAACGGCGATTGTTCCCTAAATTCTCATAGACCAAAAAAGAACTTAGGAAAACATTACAGACGTACCATAATCTCTGGTGAAACCACATTTTCTTAAGGACTTTCTAACCGAAAACACACCAATTATCATCGTGCCCTAAACCCAAGAGTATCATCCCTCACCAACTCTATAACAATCTGAAATTTGAAGACACTGACCTGCATTGTAAACGTCTTCCCGCTTCCGGTTGCTCCATAAGCAAGCACCGTAGCGTTAAACCCCTGAAAAGTCCCAGGAATTAAGGGTTTCACTTCACTATCGTAGATCTGCTTGACGTTGTCGTCTTCTTGCCCAAAAAACGCATCTAGCTGATAACATTCGTTTCGACTGCTCCAAAAACACAAATAACGAAACGAATTTCATTAGAAAAAAACAGAAAAAAGGAACGATCAAATCCAAACATGCAGGACCCAGTTCCACACAGAATCGAGGGAAAAACGAACATAGAAAAGGATAAATTCTTACCTAGTATCCGGATCCCTTAGGTGAACAGCGACTTCACTGGCGTCTCTGGGATTGCCATCGAGAACGGAAACACAAGGCCTCGCATCACCGTCCTTTTCGCAGATCTCCCTGGGAAGAAATGGACGAACCCTAACGATCACTCTGACCTGGGAGATTGAAGAAGAATCCAAGGCTTTGGCGTTTGATGGAGTTCCTGAATCCATGAGAGAGAGAGAGGGGGAGAGAGAGAGAGAATGATGATCTCGAATTTGAACTTATGATCCGTTGGTCATTTTGAATTTGCTCTGTGCATTAAAAGGCCTTTGCTTTTTTATTTTGAATTCCCTCTTCGGCCTTTGGGCTTTATCCTTTATCCTTCAGAGGGCCCACATTTTATTCGAATTTAAGTTAAAATCCCTTTTAAAATATTTAAATTAGTAAAAAGTAATTCTCAAAGATTTAAAAAAAAAATCATAAAAGCACGAAAATATTAAAATGGTGTATGAGTACCAAGCATTATCAATTTTCCATTTAGTGTGTTATTGACGGAAAACATTATAAGAAAATATAAACAGAAGTATAATCTGCGCCATCGATTTCACAGGATCGGACGGTTCTCCGAAATTTGTGTCGGTTAAAACACACATTCTACGAAATTACAATTAAGCCCTTTAAAATAAAATTACTCCTCACGATCCGACGGTCCAGAATCGCCCGCCAACCTTTGCCTTGCTTACGTGTACGATGGTCAACGCGTCAGCGAATAGTGCCGTTTGAGGTTCAAACTTTTGTTCCCAACGTTAACCCTCTTCCGTTAACGTCCGTTAAATCCCCTAGGGCTTTTTTTTCCCAGTGTTTCATCACCTTCCTTGTATAAACAAGGGAATGTAACGGCGGTGGAAGAAGTATTCGTTATAATAGTAGTGCTCTTTTATCTTTTTTTAATATTTTTTCTTGTTTTCGATCAGTCCTCTCTCTCTCTATCTCTTTCTCTCTCTATGGTTCAACGGGCAAAGTATTTTTCGGAAAAAAGTTTTGTTTTTTCTAACGTTTACCTTGTTCTTCTTCTGCTCGTGAGATCGTCAATCCGTCTTTCTCGATGAGCTACAGTTCGAATCCTGTCGCTTGTTCTCGGGAAGAGGTCGATTTTGCTTGGAATCTGGTTCTTGTTGTTGCTCTGGTGATCGGATTGTAGTTTTTGTCTGCTGTCTCTGATTTAGTTCGCGGTTGTTGGTTCTGATTCGGAACTAGTTTCACGATTCCCAAAGAAAGGGGTCTTATTGATTTCAGTGATCAGAATTTTAGAAACCCTAGATTTCATGTTGGAGGGAGGGTATTGAATTGTTTACTGAATTATTGATTTTGAGATCTTGGCTTGTGTTTGCTTCGTGTTTAACGTTGTGGGTTTTTTAGGGTTTGTTGATTTCGATTGTTTTTTTTTTTGTTGAAGATTTGTTATTCTTAAATCTTTTTGGGTTATAATGGTAAGTCTCCTGGGATTTTGTAGGGGGAGACTGGTGAGGCGAGAATCGAGGATCAGTGCATGGAAAACAAGCAATTAACAGCTGCTTCGAGCTCGTCTATGTCCGAAGGCAGTGGCAATAGTCTCCTCAAGTCACCTGGAGTTGCAAGTCCTGCCACAGCATCTCCAACTCATCGGTACCGTCTGACTTGATTCTTTTTCTGTGTACCCGATTCATATAACATCATGGAGTATCTAAGTTTAGCTGTGAATTTTGCAAGATTCTTCTGAGATTTCATGCCAAACTCGACCATCAAAAACTTGATTTTTGAGGTTATTTCTTCTACTTATTTGATCCACCTTTGCATTCTGCAGCAGGACTACTGGCCCTATAAGACGAGCAAAAGGCGGCTGGACTCCTGAGGAGGTTTGTGACTGATTCCTTCTATTCTATTCTTGATTATTGGTTCCATTTACTTGCTGAGGACCATAACATGTGGTAATGAAGCTGCTATGTACAGTACAATATCATTCCACTATCTTTCAGTCGTATATATTATTTAGTGGTTACACAAACCAAGATGATTTTAGTATTAATTTGGTTTTTTTCACTTGTATTTTGATTGTATGTTGAAGAATTGTGACAATTATCCTACAAATATTTCAGGATGATACACTTAAAAAAGCTGTTACCATGTACAAGGGGAAGAGCTGGAAGAAAATAGGTTTGTTTCTTCCCAATCTATTTCCGGTATTGTGGTGACATTGTTGACTGTTGTTACTACTGATGCCTGAGATTAGTGATCCTAAAAGGATTAAATTGGAAACTGTATAAATAATTTCTAGTGTTGGGATTCCCAAGCTCAAGTCTTGTCCTAAATTGTTCTAGTCGATTCTTGGAAATGCCTGTTTGTTCGCCTATTTGTTCCGTTGTCTTCTCTTTGTTGTGAATTAAGTGGCATCGTTTCATAAGATAAATTTGATTAGGTTTGCACCTTGCAAGAGTTCTTTTGACTTGGTTGAAGCGGTTTATTTTGTTATTTTCAGCTGAATTCTTCCCTGATAGAACAGAGGTTCAGTGCCTGCACCGGTGGCAGAAAGTACTTAATCCAGAGCTTGTTAAAGGACCATGGACTCAAGAGGTTTCTTTTTTTCTCTGAAACTTGTTTTCACATTGATATTATGTGACGTTTGATGGCTTAAAATTCTCTTTCTTCTCTGGTTTTGCAGGAGGATGATAAAATTATAGAACTTGTTAAAAAATTTGGGGCTGCAAAATGGTCTGTTATTGCCAGGTCTTTACCAGGTCGTATAGGGAAGCAATGTCGTGAAAGGTAATTTGTTTAAGCTAGTTTTTTTTTTGTTGATACTGGGAATAAAGAATGTGATATCTACCGTTGAAGAATAGACTTTGTGCCTCTTCGGCTATAGAAACATCAATGTGTTTTTGACCTCAGTACATTGGCAGGTGGCACAACCATTTGAATCCTAACATTAGAAAGGATGCATGGGCTACAGAGGAGGAATTAGCTCTCATGAATGCCCATCGAATACATGGCAACAAATGGGCTGAAATAGCTAAAGTGTTACCCGGCAGGTATGATTTCTTGTTGAGTGTAATTGAGGCTTAAGTAGGAGCTAGACATTATTGAACCGGGGAAATCATGATGCGTTCTTTTTTAACCATTCAGCAAAGCTGCTAATGCTCTCATTTAGCTGCCACTACTTGTCATAGGTTTTCGCTCTTGGCATCTCTTAATGCAGACTGTACCTAGTTATATTAAAATATCTGATACTTGCTGTTATTGTTAAGACCAGCTGTTGTGAGAAAAATTATTCGCTCTCTTTTTAAACTTTTTCTTTCCACAATTTAGTAGTCTCCTTATCCATTGAATAGCAATGACAAAATGGTCACAGCACAGATGGAGCTGAAAGTACTTTTTTTAGTTAATGTAAGGAGTCTCATTCCTTTGTCATGTAGTGGGGGCTGTAGGATAGTCCTGGTTGTAGTTTTCTCTCTTTTAAGTTATTATTCTCTATTTATACCTCTAATGCCTCTGTTTTTTTTTTTTATAAAAAAATTCTTGACTCTGACTCAGGACTGATAATGCGATAAAGAACCACTGGAACAGTTCGTTGAAGAAAAAGTTAGATTTCTACTTAGCTACTGGCAACCTGCCGCCGGCAGCAAAGTATGGCTTTCCCAATGGCGCCAGAGACCATGGAGTTCCTGACACAGCTCGAGATTCCAAGCAGTCTTGTGCTGTTAAACCTTCATCTTCTTATCAAAACAAGGATTCTGATTCAGTTGCCCAAACTTCTTCTGGGACTACAGATATAAACAAACCAGATGAAGATGGAAGAGACCATGCCATCAATTCTTCAGCTCTGCTAGAAGAAGCAGCTGCTTCGTCAAAAATCCGTGTTAATCAGTACGCTTGCTCTCCAGCTGTGGAGTACAAGCCTCAAATGCATAATAATTCCAGGCCATTTCCAGAGAATGGTGCAGTTAATTCCAGAGGTTATGAGGACAGAATAGCGACAGAAGTGGGAATTGGGACTCCAAAGCATGGTTCACTGTGGTACAAGCCTCCTGCCGACCTTTACTTGCCATCAGAAGTTGACTTCCAGCGTGTGTATGGGTATGAAAGTGGTTGCAGTCCCGGTACATCACCAGTTAGCTTCTTCACTCCACCTTGTTCGAAGGGCAGTAACTTCGCTGCAAGAAGTCCTGAATCTTTCCTGAGAGAGGCTGCTAAGACTTTTCCAAACACACCCTCTATCTTTAGGAAAAGACGGAAAATTGCTGTGGAGCAAAGGGAGAATGATAATGCTACTGGGAAAATAGATGGCGACAGTGGAGCTAAGCGGGTTGATAAAGAAGAAGAGAACACGGAAAATAGGTCAGAGAAGTCTCCAGCTCAGAGAGAAGTATCGACACAGAGCCCTGATTGTCATGATAACAAAAACCGCGGGTCAAATGGCAGTGCTTACAATGTGTCCCCCGCATATCGGTTAAGGTCCAAAAGAACAGCAGTCTTCAAATCAAGACAGCTTGAATTTATGTCTGAGAAAGAGAATCCAGGGAATGAAACAAAATCATGAGGTTACATCTGAAGAGCGGGTCCCATGTTAAAGCAGACATCTTAACTTTTTTGTTCAACAATAGATGGAAATCTCACCTTCAGTCACAAACTGTAAGTGAAAAGTTTCCGTCTTTACCCGAGTGATAAGCCCCCACTCTTCCTCCTGAGAATCTGTATAATCCACTTCCTTTTTCAGGTACAGGTAGCAATGTGACAGCTCGGAATGGCTGAAACGAAACATAAGGGAGGTGACAAAACTTTGGCCTTTTGTCCTCCTCCAATCGAAGACAGCAACTAAGAATCATACACACTCCTCAGTTACACTTGAGAATATATTTTGTATTTCTTTTTCTTTTTGGACTGTTCCTGCAAATAGAGGTGATGATTTTTGTTTAGGTTTAACCAATGAGTTGTGTACAGAAAGTGATGAGGAAATTCGGTAAGTTATTATTTACGGCCATTTTGGGATCTTATGGGTGAAGAAGACAAGACATTAACTCTGCTTTAACACTGAAGGACCCCTTCGCCCTGCTGCCGCTACCATTGTTTTTTCTTGGCAAGTTAAAAGTTCAAAACGACTTTCATACTACAAAAACCTCCAAAATGGACGTTGAAAATATTTTTAACCTTCAAGGCTAATAGACATTTGTCAATGCAATAAGAGAAAAAAAAAAAGCAAACAAAAAACAAAAGAGAAAAAATTTACACTTTTTTTTTTCCCAAAAGGCCAAATTGTCCAAAAAAAATTACACAAAATTGTCATGAATAGGAAACTAATTTTCACAAAAGATATTAATATACGGATTGCTAATTTGCTATTTATCTCCTCTTCAAATTCCTTTTAAGTTATATCCCTCCTATATGGTTTACAATGAAAAAAAAACTGATTTTTTTTTCATATATTCCTTGTTATATCTTTCTTTGCTAATGAAGAACAAATCGTCATATAAAAAAAAAAAAAAAAAAAAAAAAAATCCTTGTTATATCTTTTTTTTTTTACAAAAACAAAATCGTCATATATACACAACCGTCTTATTTAGTCTGTTAGAAACACATGGTCATAAAAATTTGATCCATGAAAAAAAGTAAACCCACACATGGTTTTGGTAAAAACTTTTTGGGTCAACGAATATAACACAAACTTATTTCTGATTTAAAAGTTATTAAACCGCGAGGACTATCATATCATATCATATATACATTCACAGAAAACGACAACAAGATTAACCCCACACACCACACCAAAAAAAAAGTCTCGGATCACAAAAGTCAACGCAGGAATCTCTGTCTTGTCCCCCACATTCTTGGCTGATCAAAAATAGATTTGTTGGAAGCGAGGAAGAGCCAACGGCCACATTCATAGTTTGGGTGGTGCGCCTCTGTATATTTAGCTGGAAAAAAAAACAGAGCAAAGCAAAATCTTAAGAGCTTCTCCTCAGATTCATGTTGGATCTAAGAGAAAGAAGAAGACAGGTCTTAAACGGTCCATGGATAGAAACTCAAGAATCTATCCAAAGACATTCCTAAGAATCACCAAAAGTAACAGCTATATCGAATCAAGTATCATGTAACATGGGCAAGTGTTTTTTTTTTGGATTACCTTGATGGAGACAGTTCACGTCCAATGGGTTCCATTGAGGGAGTTTATGACAAAAGGAAAAGACTTCAGTTTCCAGACGACAAGATTCTTAAAACCAGGATGGTTTTGGCCCTTAGGTTGCGAATGGACCGATTGTGGTGAAGGCCCCTATTGTGGTTTGAGCAAGAACCTTCGTGCTTTGATCAAGACCGTGAGAAGCAACCTGTGTCGTGATGTGATATGTTAAAGGCAATCACTTTTATCACTGTGGATTAGAATTTTTTACCGAAGTCTACAAAAATTTAAACAACTCCCCGACTGAACAATGATTATTACAGCATCCGTTCGGATCTGGTGATAGGTGCAGATATCAGAAGAAGAGAGAGTAGACAAGCCACGAGTGTGGAAACACAGGCAAAGCTGTCTAGGAATGTGTAATGTTAACATAGAAAAGCTTACCATGTATGTCAGAGCAGCATAACGTTCTTCATTCAAGTAGAGTGGTTTTCCCCTGCGCATATCGAGATCCTGGAACAATAAAACAAATAAATATCATCGGGAAATCGTGAAACTTGGACCGAAGCAATAAAAAAAAAAGGCAAAGAACAATTCCAGTCTGAATGCGAAACTTGGACCAAAGCAAAAAGAAGGCCAATGAAAATCGATGACTGCCAGAAAATTGTAACACCCAATTGAATCTTGGCAGATAATATTAATCCATTCCTAGATGTTCTTCACGAGATTAGTGACAAGTAGACCACTTTACCTCTTCACCAAAAGCGTCCAAGTAAGGAGATGGCCAAGGCGACTGCCGTGCAGATCTTTGTAGTAGAATTGTGGTCCGCTATACAAAAACCAAGACTCATAATCAATTCAAAGCCCAACTTACAATATCAATGAGAAAGGAAACAACACATTAAAAAGAACAGACTACAAAAGCAATAAAACACGCAAAAAAGAGAGGGAGTGATGATACCCGAATCAAAAGGAATACACCAGTTCCAGCACCACAGGACATTGCATGAGTCTGGCAACCACTTTCCCTTTGAAAAGATATCAGAAGACGTCATTAGGTTTCGTTTCCCCGCAAGACATTGATAAAAAAATTACATGACACAAGCAAAAGAAAGTGAAGCAAATACCTGCAGCAAGGCCTCCAGGCTGGAGAGCACAATCTTCCACATAGAAGACATAAGGCAGGTTCATCAATGACTTTTTTGCAGTTGGTGCAAGATTCTTTGATACACCTAAAAGAACAGGTTTCTTTATTAGAAAAGTTCTATTAGAATGAGACACAACAACCAAGCCAGAAAAAAAAATAGTTGCAAACCTTTGCAACAGATCCTGGTAAAGATGGGGTAATCTCATTAGCCTGAAAGGAACAGCAGGGGTGATACAAAGCAGCCCTTTGGTTCTGTTAACGTTATATTCTCTCTGAAAGTGTTGGAACCACCTTTGAGCAAGAGACTGGACAAGTCCATCTTTCAGAACAATATCAATAGGAGGAATCTTAAACATTTTCTCCAGCTCTTGTACTTCAATGAGCTCAGAATGTGCACTGTATGTAAAATCCATCTTGTCAATGGTAGAGTCAGATGACACATTCATATGGTCCCTCTCAAGGAACTGCCCAGGTTCAGATTTCAGTAGCCTCCACAGCAATGCACATCTCCTCAAAAAAGGAAAGCTACATTTGCGAAGTGTGTCCTTTATACCACAAGAGAAGTCCATGTAGTTCGACTTGAAATACTGGCCACCACATCCAGATTCTTTTAGGCTTTCCTCAAAGCCTAGTCCGAAGTCATACCAATTATGTGTACAATATGCAATTATACTCTGCATCAAAGCACAATGAGATCAGGAAACTTGAATCTCAAGAGGCAAATACAACGTAACTCAGGAGAATTAAGTAGTGCACCTGTACAAGAGAGACTGTGTAGAAGATATGCACAAGGGATAGGAGAGACTCCTCACATGAGATGCAAGGGGAAGGGAGACAGAAGAGAACCCACATCAATGACGAGAAAGGATCACGAGAAAGAATCGGATCAGATGTGCGATTCCAGAACAGATGATCAGCAGAAAAAGCTGCTGGATTTGCATTCTTCAATAAGCCTAGTGTGGTGCCTGAAAAGATGATTATCATTCTTATTTGTACGGGCAAGCTTCTAGTATAAGCAATAATTCCATTTGCAGATAAATACAACTAAGGATCTACTAGTAGGCTATAAAGAGTTCCATGTAACATCATATGTTCAAGAGAACACAGACAGAATCCAGAGTGCAGTTGAATTATGAGACCTCAAGCTTCTTAGTTTTACAGTACACATCAGTCATGAGTTAGAGCAGAAATACCTTCTCTTGCATATATGCTGCTCGAATAACTACCAGAAATCCCAGAGCAGATAGACTCTACAAAAAGCTGCATACCCGTAAATCTCTGACGAACATGAATAGGATTCTTTGTTCGTGTGCTCTGAACCACTCGTAATAAAAGCGACAGAATCGATCCATTAGATGTTTTGAACTCCTCGTATAGAGAATCACCACAATAGACAGGAAGCATAGAAGTCTTTCCAGAACGAGCAACAATCTCCATTGAAATAAGAGAGTACTTAAGGGTATCCCACATGACAATCGATTGAGCTACCCATGGAATTTCCCGAGACTTTTCCTGTCTCTCAGAAAAATACAAATTCCAGAGCTTGCTTGAGACATATTCAAGGTCTTGCCTTCTTTGTGCATCTCCCTGAAAGAGAACCGCTTTAACTGTATCACCATCTTCAATCATCTCAGCAGTAGTTTGCAGGAGACACAAAGCTTCAGGAAGTCGAAGATGATGATTATCTTCATCTGTTTTATTTGAGCTAGTACTGGAACTCGGTTGCAGCTTTGAGACAGCACATAAATCCCCAAGACTAGCAGGTAAGATGGAATTTGCTAGACGGCGACATACAGGGCACAGAAACTCTCCCTGAAGACGAAACAAGTTAAGCTTCAAAATGCAACAAGCTCTACAAAATTGTTTTAAAAAAAGGCCAAAAAATTATTTTTAAAAAACATATACCCGATCTAGATCCACGATATGTGCACCTTCAAAGACATTTCTTCTGACAGACCTACACAAGCCAAACACATAAAGCATTTCAATCTACATAGACAACAAAGTGACAAACACTGCCATTCACCTTAGCTTTCCAGCTATTAAATGAGAAAAAAAGGGGGTAATGCTCTATTTTAATGGTAACATGCATAACCAGTGGAACTCACCTTTCCCTCAATGATGTCAAGTACCGTTCCAAACAACCCTGATGCACGGCATGCCCACAAGATGACAGATTAATTCCATCACAATTAGTAGGATGGAATCCATCAAAACCAGCATGCGATGCATAAACTGATCTGGGTTTATCTAATAGAGGATGTCTGGAGGTCTTTGTGGATAGAAAATCATCAGAAACACTACTGGTGCTGCTTTGAGGACCAGGCTGTTGATGCTCCACACGTGTAGGAACTCCACGCTTCAGATCATCAAGTCTTCTACAAATAGTTCTATACATAGTTATCTCTAATGTCTCCAAACTATGTTTATCCTTTCCCTTCGCATTGCTAGGCCTGAATTGCATCTGACTGTTCTTCATGAGCCGAGCTCTGAGAGACTCCAGTACAGAGTCCTTAGTAGATTGAGTGATTGCATCCTCTGACAACTGCGATAAATGCTGAGAGCCCACACTTAAATTATCTGAGGAAACATCCATCCCAAAGAGATCGGGAGCTGCCCCCATTGGCACCTTTTCAGATTGTGCAACCCGATCCCAAGAAAGCGGACCTCTATCCACAAAACTTAAAAGCTTGGATTTCTGAAAACAAGAATGAGAGTGATTAGGACATTTGTTACTTCAACCATACACCTAGATTCACAGAGGATTGCAACCTTTTGCTACCAACCTGGAGGAAAATCAAGCAAGAAATGGGATCTTTTGAATTCGGATCATGACAGAGAGAACAAACTTCATGGATAACAGTTTCCGAATCATTTTCCACAACTGAATTACTTGTTTCAGTTTCAGATTTTGAACTATCATCCTCCATACTCGAACTCAAGGTGGACAAGAATTTTGATTGCTCAGCTTTCATTTTTGCCTGCAGATAATCCATAAAAAGATAATCCATATTTAGCATATGGTGGGAGTAATTGGTTTCATCAAATGATAACTCGAGCAATGAATATGCACAACAATCTAGGCTTCCATGAGAGAGATATTCTTCTCTTGCCACGGGTATACATGTTTATAAGTTATAACATACAGACCTTTAATCTGTTAACATAATGGGAGTACATAGGGCAAGTCTAAACTCTAAAAGCAAAATGAATACCTTGGACGTTAACAATCTGATTTAATGTGCCAAGAACTACACTAATTTGACCATTTTCCTTCTTTTGAAAATAAGTTTCTTCAGAAAAATTGAATAAAATCATACCAGAATAGCAGCCTGTCTCTCTCGAGCTTTAGCTTTGCGTTTCTCGTCAGAAGAAGAACCTGATATGACTTTATCAGGACTAGGTAAATGACCAACCACCTCAGGAGCAAGCTTTTGCAGCATGTTCTTGCAAAGAGAATCGATTTCATAAAACTTTTTAAGCAAACTTCCAACCCATGAAGATATATTGCAGCTGCCAGCTTCTGTAATTCGGTGGTGATCATCGCCTTTACGTGCCCTCATAAGTGAAACAAGAAGTGACAACAAACTTTGCTTTCCAGTCCTTTGATCAATCCCAATAGTTTCCTGACCAGCTAAGTCAATAATGGGAATCAAATCTTCAGTCCCACAAGCCTGGGTACATTCCCTCTGCTGAATACAGATATCCAGTGATAAAGATAACAAGTGCAATGCAGGGACGAGAACGCCATCTGGAGCACGTGATTCAAGAGATGTACTACTGTAAAGTGCATAGTATAACACTGTGGAAATTATTTGAAGGGTGGTTCTGCAAGTTCCTATTTTAGCCAGCTCCTTTAGAGGTGGATAGATTTTCCTCCACCTAGGAAGCTGAGTGGTCAACGCAGATACTCCACAGTAGCGTGAATACCTTTCTTCTGCAGCTTGCAAATCTCTTGAATGCCAACGAGGGTGGTACAGATCCAATTCCTTCCAACAAGATGATCGCAGCGAATACTTTCCCTGCCAAAGAAAAAAAGGCAGATATTCATATGTTGCATGCAAACTTAAAAGTCATGCCAATCTCTTGGTAAGAATAGAGACCTGGTTAAACCCAGATGGATTGCTGTAAACGGAAACACTATCCAATATCTCCTGAAGCTTATCAGACTTGGCCAAGTCACGAGGTAAAGATTTAACTAACTGACTGTGAGTGGCATCTCCAGTGGCTAACTTGTAAATGATCTCCCTTCTCAAACTTTCAGCAGTAGTAAGACCAGAATACCGCCTTTCTTGCAGAATCTGTACCAGAAGAGTGAGCATTTCCTGGACCAAAACTGCTTCGTACCTGGGAAGATGTTTTTCAACCAGGAACAAGTCAAAATAATGCAACACAGACCAGGAATATTAAAAGTTCTAGATTACAGAAAATCAACCACATTAACATTTAGCAACAAAGGAATTGTGGCCAGTGAATGGGCAGAAATTAAATAATTGATTATGAGGTTTATGTATTCTTGGTCAATTAGGACAGAGCAAGATTGCAATGTTTTATTTTATGTTACAAATTTACAATAGGAAAGGCACACAACAATTGTGTTATTTCAATAATCAATAATCCACGACTCACAAGGAAGGATATAAGAAATCATATTGAAGGAGATAGTTTGACAGTTTAAAATGCTGCAGACTAAGAAAAGGGTACCGAGAAGAGGATAAAAAGGTACTAACTCATTTGATCTATCAGGACACAATGACAAATAGCTCGAGAGCCCAAATCGATTGAGAATCTGGCTAACATAAGAATCTGCAGGAGCTAAGGCACCACAACATTGCAGCAGAAAGAGATCAAGCTCTAGGCCCAGTTCTGACCTGTGATTTAAAGGCAGTCAATGAGAAAAGAGTAATCACTTCACAACCAATTTACTTCTCAGCAAATGAGAACATACAATAAACTAGAACACATTTATCATGAAAAAGGCAGTCTCATTTACCAGCGTACCGACCGATACCACTCACACGATACTAAGGCAGTATCCCCGTTCCTTCTCCACATACCAGCAATAACCTGAGCACAAAATACCCTAATCCGGAGAGCATGCTCCATAATGAAGGCAGAAAATCCATAAGGATGGAAATCTCCAAGTACGTATCTGAAGAAGTCTATATGTGGGTCCTGATAACTAGCACTGACTACATGGGGCAACGCAAATTCTCCATAACATATTCTTAATGCTCTTTCTACAAGCACAGAAAGTAATCGATGTAACGGTAGATGAACCGATATGGGCTGGGTGCTAACATCATAGTGGATGTCTGGCCATTCACAGAGGCCAAGGATACGCAATCCTTCTGATGCATTCTTTATCGAAACAGCAGAGTTGCAAGAAAATGTCCATGAGTCAGCAGTAAAACCTGTTTGAACCTCCTCATCTGGTCCACTAGCATTCTCCAAATTAAGATTTGATTGTATATCACCACACAGAGGTGGTAACCCAGTAGATGGATCTCCATTGGAGCTGACAAGACCACTAAGTATAATCTTTCCGGTTTCAACCTTTGATATTTCTCTCTTTGGCCCTAAACCTTTTCTTCCGGAGATACTCCCGCCCCTAGGTGTCGAAAGATTGCAAAGAAACTTTGATATACCTTCATCATCTCCTAGACATGTCTCTAGAACTTTCAAACACTCACGTATCAACCATATAGCATGTGGAGGAAGCAATGCACGGAAAGAATCATTTGACTGGACTTCAGCAGCCATAGATATATCACCAGATGAACTGCTGCTTCCCATTGCACTACAGACAGAGTCTTCATGAGACAGTCTTCCAACCTTTGCATGCCTTTCTCTGTCTCCATCATCTGTATCAGGTTCTCCCTTGGTAGTCTTCTCACCTTCTATTTCTTCATTGATACCAGCAGAATACACACCATCGACCAAAAGCGAGTGGATAACAGAAATAGAATGGCCCAAAAGAAAGAAATGATGCATGTAATCATTTTCTTCCTCGATATGGATTCCGGTTTCTCTCTTTTGGGGGTTCATCCCTTGAGCAAAGGTCAAGAGTATCAACCAAGATCTGGATAAGTCCTGCTGTTCATGCGTTGCATATTTAGAAACTGCAGTATGGCTCATAACAAATTTCAAATCTCCGATGACACGATCAATTGCCTCACTCATCCGTTCCCATTTCGTGCCCTGCAAAACAAAAGAATCGAATATCTTGCATTTGTCATCATTATTGGAAATACATTGTCAATAGTGAATAACAAGAATGTCACTTTTGACCAAACACACAAGAAATGAGAATGTATTTGAACTGTGATTGAATGGGCAGCAAGCTGTCTGTTCACCTGCAGAACGCCATCCTCCCCAGCACAAGAAAGAAAGATTTCGCCTAGGCATCCAAAAAGCATAGCGAGCAAATTCATATCCTTCACAAGAAGAGGTGTTAGAGTAGGCACTGTGAAGATTTGCACTGAGAACGTGGATACCAGAGGATACTTCTTGAATGTGTTGTGACTACCCTGCTTAACCGCTTCACTTATAACAACTGGATAGTAACTCACAAATGTTTTTGCAAACTCAGACTTAAAGTTAGGGTCTCCTATTAGTTTGAGAAGCAATTCATGTAGTTTCTTCAAAACCTCTTGGTGCAAGTACTTCTCTGCCTTTACAAGAAGATTCAGCAGACCATCTGAAGAGATCATTCTCCTGGAAACAAAACTGAGCAAACTCTCGCTGCAATTGCAAAACTCCAAAAGCATTTCAACCGTAACAAATGTCAACTCATTTGGCCTCTTTTGGATTTCTACAACATTATCAATCGAACGGTTATCTTTCTGACTGATACTTTCTGCGGACAAAAGCTTGTTTTTCCAACAAGCAAAAATGGCATCAAGGACAGGCCCCACTGAATTTGCTAGATTTTCTGGAAGGGGTTGAATCTGTTCTGCACCTTTATGCATTGAACAAAAACCCTCTCGTTTCCATGCTGTCTCGTCCCCACAATCACAGCAACCACCGCCTGTATATATAATAGAGTAGTCGTGGTTGCTGTGGTCACCATTCTGGAAACAAGGAACACAAATTGCACAAGTTGGGTCATTTTCACATGTTCTGCACCGATATGCTATATCATTGTGTCCCCAGACAGAACCACAAACACCGCGCTGACCAACATTCATTTTGGCTAGGTTCCTCAGACAAAAAACAGGGTCATCCTCAAACATCAGCCACTGTAGCCATTCCATGCTCTCCCTAAACATCTTTTTCACGCTAGAGCTCACCGAAAATTTCCGGGAACGCTCTCTAGATTCCTTTAATTCTCCAGCAACTTCCCTGTCCGTGGGTAGTATAGCAGTTACTAGCTCAGGAGTCCTGGACCGGTCAGCTCTGACAAATTCCACCAGGCCAGGTTTGGTGCGGCACTCCTCAGGCACTCCGATACGCGCAAGCCTCTACAAGATAAAAGGTCCACATTTCAATTCAAATCAATCATCGGAAAACAACCCAGCACGTCTGAATTATCCCACTCTACAAGCACAAGAGAAATGGGTATTTGTTCTCCTACGTCTGAAAGTCATAATACAACTCGAACACAATCTCTGAGACCGAAACATGGTCCACATCTTTTCTCGACTGCAGAGCCGATTAGTGTATCAAACAGTTACCCAAAGGAACAGACACTACAAGTGACACTGCACAAACCAGACACTGAGAAAAAGGGGACTACCTCGAGAACCATATGGGGGCCAGAATCAAGAATATCCGAGTCGATCTCCATCTCACCGAACAACGAACGGTGGAGATACAATACCACCGAGTCCACGCAGCAGAAAAACCGCCGTATACTTAATCTAGAGCTCTCACTCCCCAGGTCTAATCCTCCGACATGGAAAACCTCGAATGATCAAAAGACGACGATGAACCCCAATTGAAGCAGCAAGTCATCCACCAAAAAGGAAAAGAAAAACCTAATCCTCCGACAAAAGCCCCAATTGTCCGAAGATTAAACCTTTAACTTTTCGGCGATCGAGGAAAGACCCCCACTTTCGCACACGGAAGAAGAATTCTCGGCCACGATTAAGTTAACCGTGATGGTTCTCCAATCCCTCGAACTATCCTCAGAAGGCACGAAAACGAACAGAGTAGAAATATACGGCGGCGATGTTGAATTCAGCTACAATTGAATTTCTTTTTTTGTTTTATTTTAATTCCGTTTACCAATTTATTAGTGCCAGCCACAATACCAAAAAATAAAAAAATAATAATTTTCTTTTTATAATTGATCATTATATCATTACACAAAATATAGATATATGTCGGTCCACTAGATCGATCGAGTGTAAATCCACAAGAATTATCGGTTATACTCTCTTATAATATAATATTTTCATTAGTCATAAGGAAAAATTGTCGAATTGCATAGATATTATAAATATTTATCTATATTGACGCTCGGATAAATTGGTGAATAAAATTAATTTTATGTTCAAGTTTAACAAATATTTGTTTATTGGGCTGGTATCCAAATTGCTAGATAATGATTGGGCCAAGCCCATATATACTTTGGATGACCTACTGGGTTTAATTGTATAGCAGTAAACGGCCCATACCAACGTTTTTTTTTCTTCTATATATTTTTAATTCAATTAATAATTAATTTCCTAATTCCAAGATATAACGCACGTGTTCAAATATTTAGAGCTATCGAAATTTCAGATCGAAAAGTCTGAAAATTTTAGTATGGCTGCGTATGAGAATTGGACAAAAAAATGAAAATGAAAATGAGATGTACATCATTTGTTCTTAGAACATGTTTTAAATAGATCATCAAATTTACCAATCTTGGATTTTTTTTTACAGATTTCAAATCTATGAATAGAGAATTCATACATTAGTTTGCAAAAATATACAATTTTTTTTACTGGATAAAAGATCTATCTGCTATCCATCGGACGCGTTGACTAGGTAAACCTCCGTCCTAAGAACAGCATTAAAGACGATTTATATATTACAAAAATCAATTTTTAAAAAAAAAATATATCCATGTTTCAGAAAGAAATTCCTTTAACTTCAATTAAATGAAGAATATTTCTGGTTTCATGGATCAAAAGAAAATATGAGATAAATATTCATTTTCAAAAGAGAAAAAAAAGCATAATAGGAAAGTTCAATCAATAGTGAAGATGAAGTACAAGTACAACCAAAAAAAAAAACTTTTGTTATTTTTGTTTGATTGATAAGGATTATATATATATATATATATATGATAACTTTTTATGCATAAAATCTAAATTAAATATTAAAATGTACTAAACATTTAAATTTTAATATCATATAAAATTTATCTACTTTCAGTTTTCTATAAATAATTCCTGTTTTTGTCTTGAACTTTTAAAAGATTATAAAAAAAAGAAAATTTTTGACCAACCCATTTATATTTTCAAGAATTATTGCTGGTCTCTCTCTCTCTCTCTCTCCATTGGGGTTTTCTGGGTATTTTTCCTTTTTTTTTCCTTCTGTTTTCGCTCCATATTTTTAAGCAAGCAAGCTCTTGCGCCTGTGTGCGGGAACTGGGTTGTCCATTTTTGATTCCACACAGGAAAAAGCTCTAATCTTTTGGCGATTAAAGAGCTGGAAAAAGTTCGGAGATTTGGTAATTAGGTTCTTTCCTCTTCATCTTCTTCTTCTTCATGGGAGTTTGTTTCAGCAATCGGGTCAAAGCGGATATCTCTTCCACTACATGTACGTACGCTCTTGCCGAATTCGCCTCCTCTCGTGTTCTTCATTCAATACATAATCTTTTTCCTTGGATTTGAAGAAGGTGTTTCAATGGCTATCCATCTATGTGGTCCTATCCATCTTTTTCCGACCGAAAAAGGGTTTTTCTTTTTTTCATTTTCCTGGTGAAAAAACGGGGATTCCATTTTTGGATCTAATGATCTGGTTGATGGAATTTTTGCTAAGCAAAGAGCAGTGAAGATTCTTCCATTATCACGGGCTGATAACTGTTGTGTAGATTGATAGTGTCGGTTGAGTGGAACTCAGAAGTGATTGTGGCCTAATGGTAATGGCACCAGAAATCAGGCAATCAATCGGACGCTCCAAAAGAGTTATTTTTTAGGATCAATTCATTAAATTTGAGATTTTTGTGGGATTATACTCTGATCCTTGTGTTGTCTGAATTCAGACAAGGTAAAAGATTCGGTGAGTTTACATTCCTCAACTGGGTTATCAGATTTGTCTTCTGTAAGCATATTTCTGTGTACGACGCTGTAAATTTCGGCTTTAGTGTCTTGGATTGTTGGAATCTTTAATATTGGAGAAAATAAAGAATTTGAGGGTCTATAATTCAGACAAGGTAAAAGATTCAGTCAGCTTACATTGGATTATCAGATTTGTCTTTTATGAACTTGTTTCTGTGTCAATCCATATAGTTTTGATGAATATGACACTGTAAATTCCGTTTTGGTGTTTTTGGTTTTTTCCCATTCTTGGATTGTTTGGAATCTCTAATCGTGTTGTTTATATCCGCGGAGATAAAGAGTGTCTGATCTTATTGTAATGTAGGGCTAAGTTCCAGATTCTTGAGCAGGGACGGGAGCAAGTGCTCGTCAACAGCTTCCTTCTCGCATGGTCCAAGAAGTGAGGGGGAGATACTGCAATCTCCTAACCTGAAGAACTTCTGTTTCGGCGATCTGAAATCTGCCACGAGGAATTTCAGACCGGACAGTGTGGTCGGAGAAGGCGGGTTTGGCTCTGTTTTCAAAGGCTGGATCGATGAGAATTCCTTTGCCGCCTCCAAACCAGGTTCGGGGATTGTCGTTGCTGTGAAGAGGCTTAACCAAGAAGGTTTCCAGGGTCACCGCGAGTGGCTGGTTAGTCATATATATTCGTAAAACTTTACTGGTATTTCCTATATATCTCTCAAGAATCCGTTCCAATAGTATTCTTGATCTGTGTATACATATATCAAGAATCCGTATTCCAGTATTCTTGATCAGTATGGTAGTCATGTGTTTAGATATGGTGGAATGATAATCTTTCCTTCTTGTAAAAAAACAGGCTGAGATCAATTATCTGGGTCAGCTGGATCATCCGAACCTCGTGAAACTGATCGGTTATTGCTTAGAGGACGAGCATCGGCTTCTTGTATACGAGTTCATGCCTCGGGGTAGCCTTGAGAATCACTTGTTCAGAAGTAACTACAGCTTTTCTTCTTCTTTTTTCATGATTTCATCATTCATCTTCCTTGAAGAAGCGGAATTCTCGAGCGTTTTTCTTACGTATTTTCTCACGATTTATGAACAGGAGGAACGTTCTTCCAGCCTCTTTCGTGGAACACCCGGATGAAAATCGCCCTTGGTGCCGCTAAGGGACTCGCATTTCTTCACAATGCTCAACCGCAAGTTATATACCGTGACTTCAAAGCATCTAACATCTTGCTTGATTCGGTAATGATACGTTATGGCTTTGGATCCAAAGCAGAAGCCGTGGATTTTGTCTAAACAGTTTGGTGTTATACCCGCAGAACTACAATGCAAAACTTTCGGATTTCGGGTTGGCTAGAGACGGACCGACGGGTGACAAGAGCCATGTCTCTACCAGAGTCATGGGAACTCATGGTTATGCTGCTCCCGAGTATCTTTCCACAGGTATTTCGGTTCCTAAACATTGCAAACGCTTAGAAAAACTGTATGATAAATCCCTTGTGGGTCGGGATTTTTACTTGCTATAATTACCCCGTAAGTAATCGAGTGTTTTGTGGCTTGGAAAGGTCATTTGACAGCGAAGAGCGATGTGTACAGCTTCGGGGTGGTGTTATTGGAGATGGTATCGGGAAGGCGGGCGATAGACAAGAACCAGCCGACAGGACAGCACAACCTGGTGGATTGGGCGAAACCCTACCTGACGAACAAAAGAAGGGTTCTCCGAGTGATGGATCCACGTCTCCAAGGACAGTACTCGCTGAACCGAGCCCTGAAGGTGGCGATGCTTGCGTTCGACTGCTTATCCGTGGATGCGAAGCTGAGACCGGGCATGAACGATGTCGTCAAAGCCCTAGAAGAGCTTCAGAGCCACAAAGCAGCGGTCCATGGAGAGCAGAACTCAAATGGAGGTAGTGATAGCCGAGAAACTTCGCAAACAGTAGATTATCCCCGGCCTTCGATGCTCTAGAGCATTGAAAGCTCGGGGAATTTCCACGAGGGGGCCGAATTTTATCGAGGTTTGGAAAATGTACAGACTGTTTCCTTGTCTGCGTTAAGCGTGTTTTGTTGTGTGTTGAGTTTTGCTTAGAACCATGAGTGAGATGTAACTAAGCCTTGTCTGTTTGTATTCGGGTTTTTTTTTTCACGTAAACGCGATTGCAGCGGTAACAGAATGGCCGAGAGGTCGTCACTTCCCAAAAACGCCGTCGTTTAAACAAAAGAACAAGTCTTTCCCAAAAACGGTGCCGTTGTGCTTGAAGCCGCCTCGGGCATTTCGTCGTTCCTTTCAATTCACCATCTCTCTCTGATACAACATTTGATTTCTACTGTAAACAAACTGTCGGCGATCTCTTTTAAACCCTCGAAACGTTCGATCACATATCCAACAACACTGAACCAGCAAGTAAAATTCCCAAATCCATCCAACAACGTAACATAATATCAGCGATGCTATGAGCATTTTGAGAGCAGTATAGATGTACCTATATTTATCCGTAACATTACAAAAATAAAGAAGCTCTGTTACCGTGTATGAGATTGCCTCAGGGTCCCCCTTGTGGCAATCCTTTTTCCTTTTTTTTTTTTTTTTGCCATCTCTACTGCTTGTGGGCCAAAGGGCATCAAGAAGTATCACTCGCACCTGCAAAAACCAATATGATGACGATGATGATGATGATGATGATGATGAATTTAACAAGTTTATGTTCATATAAAACCTTCTTCTCCCTCTGTATTTCATGTTGTACAAGGACAGGTAAATACGGGTAGGAGAGACAATTACCACCACTTAAGCTCTGTCTTGGTGTCTCCTTGATGAAAAAAAGCCAGCTTGATGGTGGATCGATTTGTACAAACAAGGAAAATACAGACAGAGTTCTCAGGAATTAGACCACCTCTTTGAGCAGAATAACATCTTCTCGAGGATGAGCTTCTTCTACCCGGACTTGTACCTCATCCCCCACCTGCTTCCCTTCTGACACCCACCCAGATGCTTGGACACCCACCTGAACACACACACACACATATATATAACAATATATATATATATAGGTATCTTTTTTTATTAGCTATATTTAGGCTGAACGGTGAAAATAAACAATCACCTCAACCAATAAAAGGGCTGCTATCCGGTCTTTGATGAATCTCAGGATCAACGCTGTATATCTTTTATCCTTCCTTTGCCTTCTCAAAAGTTCTATCACCCAATAGCGTAGACTGCTGTTGCAGAGTCTCCTCACAACTCTGCTTTGCATGTTTACCGTCGATGCTATCCCTTCTAGCTCACCAGCTGAGAACGGGAAATCCTCGCCTCGAAGAAAGGCCTTTATCTGCAAAAGAATGGGAAAAACATGGTTACCAAACATGTATGATGTATCATATTAACATCTTATTAAAAGAATGAGCTTTTCATTAGTATCAGATAAAAAAAAACAACCTAAATCACCTAATGCACAAAAGGACTCGCCTGATAGTGTGCAGTAAGATCCATATATCTACGGATGGGAGACGTGAACTGAACGTAACCAGGAAGACCGAGCACTCCATGGCGTACAGGACTTCTGAAATTCATTTCTGCTGCACGCATTACTTTGACGATAGCTGAGCTACGTACAGGTCCCTCCGGAAGATGCCCAAATGCAGATACATCGATATTCGACTGTGGCTGTCCTCTATATGGCAACGGAATATTATGCTGCGAGCCAAACGTGGCTACAGCCTCTCCGCAAAGAACCATCATTTCTGAGACGAGTCGCATGGCAGGCTCTGCCTGATTTTCCACGTAAAGGTTAATCAAAGGCTCTGGATCCTCGGGATTCACCACTTTGACACGGGTTTCTAATGTAGCTGTGTCCACTGCACCCTGGGTGAGGTGGGAAGAAGAAACCATTAGATTAACAAATATCTCTAGCAAGAAATTGCTGCAGACATAAGCTGAAAGTCAAAATCACGAAGATTAACAACAGAAGGGGAGGCGATATGATTTCTTAGAATTGGCCCAAGATGTTAGGATCACACCAAAGATCGTGAGTTCTAACTTGGCCTCTACAGAATATATTGGCTTCAAAATTCCGAACAAGAAAGAAGGACATATACAGAGGTAGGCTATAACAAAACCAACAAAACTGGAACCAACCTGTCCCCTACGCCATTGAGAGCGGAGGACAGCTGCCTCAGACAAAATCTTCAGCTCAGCCTCCTCTTCCAGGTTCAAGTGAAGTAGCTCAGTTGCACTTTCATATGTCAGCATATAGGTAGGCTTAATGAATGAATTATCCACCGAGTATTCTGCAATACTGTAACAAAGGGCCATAAGGCAATCTTTTCAATGCAGAGCATTTTTCAGTTAAGAAATCGGAGACAGTAGCAGCAACGAACTTTGAGATTTACCTGCCATCAGAACGGAGGACAACAGATACAGTAACCGCGTTGCAAATTTCTCCTTGTCTTAAACTCATTCCTTCCATCGCAAGTCTCTCCGGAAACATGGGATAAGTAGCAGTAGGAAGAAAGATGGAGGTTCCTCTTTTCCTCGCCTCCCTGAGCACTTTTGAGTAAATTAGACTGGCTTAAAGGTTAATCTCATACTCTTCAGTGAAAGGCATAAAAGCTACCTGTCCACCTTGCTCCCTGGTTTAACAAATCTAGCAGGATCAGCAACATGTATCCAGACTTTAATTCGTCCATCCTGTAATCTTGACGCACTCAGGGCATCATCAAGCTGCAATACCATGAAATATGAACCATTAACGATTGTTTAAAGAGAAAATATTAAAAGAAATTTGAGGATTCAATATTAGGTTTTCTAGGATATAGTTAAAAAAAATACCTCATCAGCCTCATCAACATCAATTGCATAAACCTTCAAGTGTGTAAGATCTATTCTGCTCACCTGGACAAAGTCCGAGCAAGTGAGCATTTCGAATCCTTGAGACCAATAAGTCAAGATTTTACTGAAGTACGGAAATTATGGCGTCTTTGCCTTCATGGGCTTGTACCACAAACACAAAAGTACAATATTCCTTGTAACATATGCACATGTCCAATGCAATGCAATGTGCTCACTTCATCAAGATCATGTGACTCTGAAAGAAGAATTTCAGCAGCTTCGACGATTTCTTCTGAGTGGTGAGTTCGCAGATTCAACTTGAGCAGTTCAAGATTCACATGTACAGGGAAATATCCAATATCTATGAGGAGATTTAGCGCAGAGGCAGCTGTTTTCTGCAATCCCATGGCTTTTAGAATCTGACATGAAGAAACAGAAAAAAGTAGATAACATTACTACAGATATGACGATTTGTCAACACGTAATCATCTAATAAGTAATAACAGAATCAATAAAAACACTTTAAAAGATAACTTCTTGGGAGAAGTCTAGTTACATCCATTTAGCAGTAAAATAAGAGATGACATCTCAAAAGAAAATTATCCAATTCCGACTTACTGCTCCAGCAGCTTTCTTCTGGTCACTGGTAACCCATGCATCGATGGCATATGCTTCAAGAGAATCAATCCTGTCTTGTATGCTATCCTCAGCTAGCCATGAAGATTTGGGAGGTTTGGCATGGCTAGGCATCTCTTTAGCAGACTTCAGCAATTGGACAAACTCCTGGAACTTTTTCTCTTCCGCCTCCTTTACAAGTTTCCTTCGTAGAAGTTCTTCTACCTAAAAAAAGGAATCCGTGCAAAATATCATCAGAACAAAGGCGACCATCTTGCAAACATATGTGCATCAGACAATTAATTAAAACATGCACAATCAAGATCTCTTTGAATTTATGGCAATTATTCATTCAAATAACAGTAGTCACCCAATAAGCTGGATTTGATCTCAGCATGCTCTCCTAAAATCACTAGAAGCTTCAATCGGGTTGAATTCTTTAAGTCAAATCCATAAATAAACGGAAGGAAACATGCTGGTAATATCACGCAACAGATGAATGAATCCTGATCTTGGGAAGAAACAACATATTACACTACCAAGCAAAAGCTATGGTGAAAGCCCCTCTAGTTGTTAAAGACAAACCTGACTTACAAAGAACATCAAAATGAAAAACAGGCCAGAAGATACCTGTTCATTAGGCCGAGGCCCGTATATTGATCGGCAACCTTTTGACTCAAGGACTGTGAAATATATTTCATCCTTCGATAACAAAATATGAGAACAGTAGCTTTCGAGAGGATCTGAACAACCAAATATCATCTGCAAAGTAAGAGCAATGTCAAACCAGAGTATTAACATTTTAGGAAACTCAACTATATAGTACCTCTGCTAACTCTTCTGGGGTCACAGGCTTGTTCTTCTCAAGTAATTCGATCCAAGCAAACTCGAGTAATGCAGGGTCCTGGTTCAGATTGTAACTAATAACTCATCCATGGGGACAAACCTCATCTTAAAATACACGACTTCTAATGTTTTGCAATCTGAACAGTTACCAGGTTATCTTGAGCTCTCTGCATAAAATCTGTAATTTCTGTATGATTGAACTTCTCAACACCAGGAACGATATAAGTAATCTGCTGCGGTTTGATGGAAGATGTAGCACCATTCTGCAGGACGAGAGCTTTCTTAATCTAAAATTTCAAAATTCCTAGCAGTATACATGTTGAATCATATTTTTTTTTTTAGTAAAACCTGATCGAAGACCATCCAATTCTTCTTGCCATCGGGTCTATGAGCAACTGCCAGCAATACCCTATCAGCGTCCTTCTTGAACTCGAGAAGGAATCCTGCCTGTAGTTCCTGGTTTGCTAGCTTATCCTCCAGAAGCTCCCCGGTGCTTGTTAATTTAACCCTACATGTCCACCTCTAGTTATTACATGAACTCCTTTCTCCACACCCAACAAAAAGAATAAAACTTCAGCTAGAAAGAAAACTATCAGCGACTAATTACACCAGTTACCCTCAACTCGTCCTCTCCTCTATCTCTGAATACAACTTCAAGCATCTTAAAGAAACCAATCCCGCAGCTAATTCTCATTTCCCAAAATTCAGAGACAAGAGAGAAGAAAGTGGAACGCACTTGACATTGGCGCGAACGCTTCGACTGCTTCTGCGCTTGCGAACGGCTTCGAGCTCTTCCATGACGCTATCGACCAAACTGTGGATAGAATACGAGCAGGTCGGAGCATCGGCATCGCCGGGACGTCCGGATAACCGCCGCTCCGACCAAAGGATCCGAAACCGAAACCCTAATTTAGAGAAGAATACAACTTCAAGCATCTTAAAGAAACCAATCCCGCAGCTAATTCTCATTTCCCAAAATTCAGAGACAAGAGAGAAGAAAGTGGAACGCACTTGACATTGGCGCGAACGCTTCGACTGCTTCTGCGCTTGCGAACGGCTTCGAGCTCTTCCATGACGCTATCGACCAAACTGTGGATAGAATACGAGCAGGTCGGAGCATCGGCATCGCCGGGACGTCCGGATAACCGCCGCTCCGACCAAAGGATCCGAAACCGAAACCCTAATTTAGAGAATTCCCGGACCGGGGACGCTCTAAGACGGTGGAAACGGCGGCAAAAGGCGAAGGCGGGAGGACCGCCGCCGCAAGTGGCGGAGCGGAGGATGGAGCAACCATTGACGGCCCTCGCCGCCATCATCGCGATTTCCAAGCTTGGTGAAGACGCCACCGAACGCTAGGGTTCGACCGAGAGGAGGAGGAAGGAGGGATCCGAGCGATATCTGAAGTGAAGAGGACTTGCTCGAATGTTCATGTGGTGAGAGAGGAGGGTATAAAATGGAGCGGGTGGTAATGGAATGGAACCGGAAAACGAAAGGGAAACAAAAAATAAACGGGAAGATTTCTTCGCACACATTGCCCTTTATTTTGGATATTTACAACATATGCTCAATCTTTTGAACATCTTAAATATACCCTCATCTTATGGATTCGACAAATTGACCCCGATAGTTTCAAATTTCACATCTGGATCCAAGTGGACGGTCCCAGTGGTTTGAACCTTTTTGATGTACGTTGTTCTTGTATGCAAACAACAACGACCTGATTCGATTATTCAAGTTTAGGTACATAACATGAGCATTGAAAATCACATAATCCATATCATGAGAGGATACAATGTTCATCAGATCTTGTGATAGATATTCAGAAGACCGACATTTGTTTGTTCTCGAGACTAAAACCGAGAAGTCAATTGGGAGAAGAGGGCCTTGAAGTCTTTGGTCGGAGTGCCAGTTCCCTCCGGCTTCGAGGCTAAGTCGAAAGCTTTGAATTTCGCCTCCTCAAACAGCAATGCCTACACTCATAAAGAAGGAAGCTTTGAGACAAAATCTTGGTCTGAATATAATAGATTATAGAACTAAAAATAAGTGAATTATGGTTTTGATCAAATATAGAGTACCTGGACGCAGACTTCTGCAACATCTGCCCTCGGGATTGTTTTTGTATCGGTTTGAAGAAGCTCGTCATCTTTACCAACTATGAGCTCTCGAGCCCCGCCTTCTTTGTCTATAAGCCCTCCAGCCCTAAGTTCAGTGTCAGATTTCAAAAAAAATAAGTCAGGAGGCGGAATCAGAAAGAGTAGACCAAAAGAGCCTAAAGATGGCCGAGGACAACTTTTGTCGGTCCTATAAAAGTGTATGATTGGCTAAGATGGAGAATAACCAATGCAGCAGCCAATGAGTTCAAACTTTGCCCAAGACAATAACTCAATAGTCTAACCTCAGCTTCAAATTGGGATTTCACATGGCAAATGAGATCTAAAATCTATGGGGTTTCTCAGATATTCCCAAAAGATAGTGCATCAGAGAAACATATACCAGAACCGTGTGAAGACCAACGCGCTTTCCAGCTTGTATGTTTCGGAAACTGTCCTCAAAGAACAGCTGCAAGAAATGGTTTACCCATTAATCAAAAATCGAATTTTCACGTTTCGAAACAGCGTGTAGGGAATTCCGGAATCAGCAAGGTATTGTTCAGCCTTTCGCTTCCAAATCTGCAGAAACAAAGTGAAATTTGAGATAGGGAAGAATACGATACGAGGGATACAAAGGTTGTTCTCTCTACGAGAACATAAAACTCATTCTTGTAACAAAAAGGTACAATTTTCAATGACCAGTATATTTCCGTTCCCCAGTTTGTTCAGCGGATGATTAGGATTGGTTCCTCCCATGGACCCAACCAAGACAATATGCTTAACACCAGCAGCTTTGGCTGTTCACAAAAGATTGCCAATTAGACTCCATATGAAGACATGTCCAAGAGAGCACATACAAGTGAGAAGAGGAAAGAAAAACACACCTACATCGATTTGATTCTTCTGACCAATCCAATCAACCTAGACAAAGAATAACTTTTAGTAAGCCAATCAACAATCGAGCCAAAATTGGAGAGAAGTTTACATGTTGAGGCGATTACCTGTTCAGGATATTGTCCATCCTCGAATGTGAACTCCGGCCTTCCACCTGCAGTAGGATCAAAACCAGGCTTCATTTTGGGCACAGCACTTGTGAGAATTATGAGGGAATCAATCCCTTGAATCGCGGGGTTAATGCTATGCTCATCCCTTATATCCCCGACAAAAACATCATCCTTTCCTCCGATTTTCTCCTTCCCTTCTGGAGTTCTGACAAGGCCCTTGGCAACAAATTGATCCGACCTCTCCTTCAACTTCTTATAAACAATCTGACCTGTGAATTCAAGGAAACAACATTGTGATCCCACAAAGCTGAACACGAACATTGTGTCTCCAACAACAAGAAACAAGCTACCAAAACAACTCAAGCTAATGTCCCTCTGAAGAAAACCCGAAAAAGAACACGAGAGAGAGAGAGAAAGAGAATTCTGATTGAATTAACCCAATGTTTTTCAGCCAAATCTCGAGTGATTATATGACAGTTGCTTCAAATATATACGCAATTAACCCCCGACAAGTTCATCCAGTCTTAACAATATATGGTGAATGGCAATCTCTTTTACCAGTCTTTGATGCACATCTCAACCAGGCGTGACCAGCGGAACAACTATACAATTGAATTTCCGAAATTCCGACACTTTCCTACTGAATATTGCATTTATCCCAAAAATAAAAACAAGTGAACTATTTATTCCCAGCGTAAAGAGGCATACCCTTTGGACGAGAATTTAGACGACTAAATTCCTATGAATGAATATCAGAGAAAAGTTTTATCGGTTTGGATCCCAAGCCTGAACGATATTTAACATCTAGATTATGAGATTCTATGATACAGAAGATTCGGAGAGACTGAAACCTACAGAACCTACTCTGATTCACGCGATTTTCTCCGTAAACAAACAGGGAAAATGAAAATGTTCGAACCTGTTCTGCCACTGGCGCCGGTGACGAGGACAGTGGGATGATCCGCCATTGGAGAATCTACTAAGCTCCCTGAATTTTCCCCAAATTCGAAATTCTCCGTTAGGATATTAATCAAGAGAAGAGAGTGGAAGATTCCAGGGAACTGGCAGGTACGGGAATTAATGACCGTTAGATGGGTGGAGGGTTGTTGGTGTGAATACACGTGTCGATACGCTATTGGTTCATATGCTCCCCAAGGTTGACGAGCCCAAATATTGCTCATTGGGCCCAAAGTAGAACGTGACGTGGGCTGAACTTGTTGTCGTTCGGAATTAAATTTTGGAAGACTACGTGTCGTTTTCAGGCATCTCGTCCGCCTGAAAACGACACGAGATCTGCGGGTGGGGAGATTTCGTCCGTCGATATATGATTACCACGTCGGGAAAGAAAAAAAAATATCCACAGAATCAAACAAATTGATAAATTGTTCGTATATGGTCAAATGTAGTATTGTTTAGAAATTTAAAATAAAATATAATGAACTCATGAAAATCTTATTATAGAACATGCCCCCACATTTTTTTGGCCATATAAATTGCTCGTTTATTATCAATTTTTATATCTTATTTAAATTTATAAACACAAGTAGAAAAAGAAATTACATTACATGATATGAAAAAGATTTGGCAATAAAATGGACACAAAGGGCTAAAAAGAGTCCCAAAATACGATCTTGGTGACTCAAAACTCTTGTATCAGCGATGAGCACAGCGGTATAACGAATCCTAAGCCCTAACCGGTGTCTCGACGGCGACCTTGCCGGAATATCCGATATCCGGCGACTTTACGTCGGAATCCCAAAGCTCCGGCAACGCTTCTTTCAAGTTGTGTATGCTCTCCAACGCATAATCTGCTCCTTTGACCTTCTGTGAAGAACCAACCTAAAACACACACAAACCGGACTCCTCATCACCTAACCGGTACCAAAAAGAACCGGTTCAAATATATCTCGGTTCTAACCGGAAACCAAGAGACATCAGAGAAACATATACCAGAACCGTGTGAAGACCAACGCGCTTTCCAGCTTGTATGTTTCGGAAACTGTCCTCAAAGAACAGCTGCAAGAAATGGTTTACCCATTAATCAAAAATCGAATTTTCACGTTTCGAAACAGCGTAAAACCATAAAAAGTTACGGTCATTACCGTTCTATGAGGATCGATATCCGCGATCTTGAGAGCCTTTTCGATGGCCTCTACAGACGGTTTACATACAATTGGGGTTTTGGGCAGTGAACCGACCGGTTTAGACATGGCAAAGTGTCCCACAATGTCGTAAATCTCGGATCTCGGGGCGTTTTCTCGGGTTTCTGACCGCCCGATGAACTCGATATCGTCCTCATCGTCTGATGCAGCGTTCTTGTGAGTCGGGTTAAGGGTCTCGAAACATATGATCCCTTCGAAACAGCCTTTTAAACCGAGTCTGCTCAGTGCTTTAACCGTGTGAACTCTATCCGCGTTGGTGAATATCTAATCCAAATCAACAATCAATAAATTGTCAATTGGTAACAATTCACAATACACTTATATATATAATATACGGTATTTATACGAGACTGTTAATATATGTGTGTATATATACGTACGACTTTACGCAGAGGGAGGCTGAGCAAGAGGCTGCGAAGGATAGGGTCGGGCTTTATGTTCTCATAAGGCAATCTTCCATGAACGAAGCTGTACCATGAGGAGAGCCAAAACGTTATACTTTTTCATGTGAAAATTTGTAAAAATGAAAGAGTAAAACAATTTATATATATATATATATATATATATATATATGAACAGATGTAATTTTCACCTGTGGTAGTCGTCGTAATCGAAATCATGTCCAATCGCCTGGTGATAACAACGACAAGTGGTAAAAGATTATATGTCTTGATTCGATTAAAGATCACGTCATAATTAACATATAAGTGATTTTCATACCCTAAGGCCGGCCATGGTAGTCCCATAATTCTTGTACAACAAATTAGACATCTCGACGACCTTGTCTTCTTGTATCCCGAGTTTCTCGATCAAATAATCTATATAAGAAAAAAGCCGAATCACGCTTCAGAATTCATATGATAACAATCTCAAAATCGTTATAAATCGGGTCTAATATATATATTTACGTATGTATAGACGAAGTTTAATATTCACCTTTGATGTTCTTTCCACATGCTTTAGAGATGCCGGTACTGAGTGGATAAAGGGTATCGTCCAAATCTTCACAATTTCAAAGAAACAGTGACGAAATCTTCACGTGTAATCGATAACGTTTCGTAAGTCGAAGGGTACGGAAGATCCAAACTTACCGAACAGGAGACAGTCGTACTTTGGTCCGTATCGGCTCTCGAACTCCATTTCCTGTAATAAAAAAAAAAGTTTATAGAAACTTAACTCGAAATGTCAATGAGAAAATTTAAATGTTATGGAGCGAACTGAGATTGTTTTTTTGTTTTTTTTTGTTTTTGTTGATCTCAGAAATTTCCATGGCTGCCAATGTTCCGATTAGATTACCACTTACCCTAAAAAAAACAGAGATGCGGTGTAATGAATGGACAAAGTTGCGTGTGACCCAAGAAAATAGGGATAAGGTTTTATTACGGCTGAGAAGATTGGGCAAACTGCAACCACTACTTTTGTATCAAATCAGTTACTCAATGATTATTGGTCTTTCATTATTACAAACAGACAAACATATATACATATATATATATATATAACGTATTTATACCTTTTGTATTTGTTCAACAATCAAATGAAGGTGTAGTTTTAAAATGTATTAAACCGCTAATATTCAGAGAAAATTAGAATTTAATATTAAAAAAAAAACAGATTTTAGAAGTGAAAAACAAATAGGTATTGCCGATAAGGAAGACCGGGATGAACCGGTTCTAACCGATGTTTGACTGAGCACTTTGACTTAACCACTTAAACCGGTTGAACCCAAACAAAAGCCAAGATCGGTTATATATCGAACCGGTGTAATTGTTCGGCCCGGTTCAGTGGAATACAGTGTACGATGTGTCATGATTCATGTGACATGTCTACGTGCATCATGCCAACACATTTGTGCTGTGAATACATATATAATAAATTCTAGAAGTAAAATGGTGAAAATAATATATGGTTAGGTGAAGCAATGGTACATATAATCATAAAAAGGGTCACGTGGGGAATGGTCGGTCGATTCATCTCCCGTCAAAAATTCGTTTCAAAATCTATCGAAAACTTAGCCGACAAAACACCGAATCATCTAACTGTAAACTGTGATAATACCGAGGAGATGTGAAAAGAAGAGCGACAAGGCGTTCGTAAGAGAAACTTGAAAACAGCGAGATGTTCGTGACCGAAACCTGGAAACAGAGAGGCGTGGATAGGCTAATTACCTTAATCAAACAGAACCGAGGGAAAAAAAACGGCAGTTCTAGAGAGAGAAAGCAGAGTTTTTTAGAGAGAGAGAGTAATATGGAGAGGTGAGGGGGAGGGAGAGAAGGAGGCACAGAGAGGGTTTAAATAGGCATCTTTCGTTGGCCCTTTTCGATCTTAAAAAGTTATTTGCAATTATTTAATGTTGTAATTGTTTATATATATATATATATTCTAAAATCTCTAAAACATACAAGTCAAATCAAGAAGATGACGAGTGAAGACCATTGCTTCTATACTTCGAAACACTTAGGCCAGCTAATTTCTGCTATGATATTTTTCATAAGTTTACATTATTATTATTATTTTATATTTTTTATCGTTTATTTGAGAAACGGTCCAAATAATACATATTTTTCTTACAACAAATTGATTTAATTAATCTCATAAGTTCATGAGTTATATAGTTATATATTTGTTAGGTTGAGAGCCCATATTTTCAAATTCCATAAGGCTATATATCATCTGCCAAAGGTCCACTTAACATTTTTATCAGTTAAGTTGTATAAGTTTTTTAATTAAAAAATAAAATAAAAATATTTTTTCAAATTATTTGAGGTAAATGTCGCAATAGATTATTATGTAGACCCGTTTAAGATATTTAACGAATTCAATATTATATATATATATATATATATCATACAATAATGTTATTAGTAGGGTATTTAAAACATTTTTTTTTTTGGATCAATGAGTAATTATTGGTTGATTGGTTTCAATTATTTGAAGATAGGAACAAAGGCCGACCCTATCTTTTTTGTTCCAATTATTTAGGAGCTCTTAGCAATCATATTACTAGACATGATTAAATAAATTGTACGCATACATAGCAGCAAAACGAAATAAAATAAAATGCAAATTAGATTTCATTATTCTATAACATCATATACTAATTTGTTGGAAATGAAATTCTCAATATATATAATCATCAATTTACAGTGTCCATTTGACTTTTTGATTTATTATTGGTATTTACTCAAGACACGAGCATGGGGAGATTTAGTTATAACCCGACATTTTGATTAGTAAGAAAACAATTTGATTACGAAAAATATTAAATTCAACATGAGCTTAGAAATTATTATCGTATAGGGTGGCCTTCTAAGGAAATCAAAATCGGAAAATTCTAGAAAAAATTCCTTGTATGCGTGTGGCTATTATGTGTAACAACACGACAACGGACCACTCGCATATAATTTATTGTATATATAATAAGGTATAACAATGTATACCATATGATAGTTTACGTGTCCACGTCTATGCAGGGGAATCATTATTGGTGTGAACTCCGATCGAAGATTCACACTTATTCATATAAATCAAAGACCGTCTCAAGATCCTCACATAAATAAAGGTATTTATTTATTTTTTACAAAAAAGTATATAATGCTAGACCCCTTCGTTATTTTTATATATATTATAATGGTGATTATCGCATACAATAAATTAATATGCGGCATTGTATAACTCTAAATTTGTGAAACTTCTTATTACGTTTTTTCCTCATGAGAATCGAATAGAAGGAGGTAAATAAAGTATCAATCTTGTATGAATATAAAGTAAGTCCAAAGAAAAAAATAATTTCTAAAAATTGTTTTATTTTTTTTTAATATCCAAATTTGATAATTTCTTTATGAAACTTTCATTTATTTAGATAACAAAATACAAAAAAAAATATGATTTATTATATCAAATACAAAGCTATGATTTTTTTTAAATGTTTTTTATTCGATTTTAATTTCCTATTCAGTTGAAAATTTTTGTTTTAAAATATTTTATACAAAACCTCTGCATCTGATATGAATTTGTATTCTTTTTTATCACCGATGATAAAAATTTTATTTATTTATATATCAATAATAATTTTTGTCGTTTATTGTAAAAATGGACGTGCCCATATAATTGGCACCAGTATCAGAAAATGACAGACTCAAAAATTCAGGAGGAAACAACAGCTGTTTGCAATTGGATTTTATTTTATTATTTATTGATGGGCAAATAATTGAACCCGCTATAGAAAAATACAATATATAGAGATTAAAAAAATAGAGATATTTCCTATAAATTCCCATAAAATTACAGAGTAAAATTGGAAATACGTGTATGAAATTGCAAATTGATTATAGATAAATAATAGGTCTTATGATGTTGACTAATTCCAACTCCAAACGTTTTCACCTCATAACACAAAAAAAAAAAAGCTAGTTGGCATTGATCTTGACATCTTTGTCATTTACATTGTTTTTTCTTCTGCCTAAATACCTTCTTGTTTTTTAACCGGGTTTCCTGGATCGATACCCAAACTAATGTCGGGGTCGGGAGTTAGCCACGTGATTTGAATTATACGTTTCTTCCCCAACTTGATGTTCGAACTCGGGACGGGACAGACGATTTGCTTCCCCGTTTCACCGGTTGCACTATCCGGGTTGGATCTAAATACCTTGTTTATTTATTTTTTTGGTTATAGATATTAAATTTAATGAGCTCGTAGTTATAATTAATCGTTCTTTTAAAAAAACGTACCATTTACCAATCTTTGTGAAATTTATTTGACTAAACTTGAGTTCTATACAACATCATGCTAAAAAAATTGTGGGTTTGTGTAATAATACGATAAAAAAATAACTCTAGTTCAGTTTTGTCAAGATTTGTAATATATATATGTGCGTGTGTATGTATATTGCATGAATAATATTCAATTGTATCATCTATTGAGCTAGGAATAAATTTATGAGGGCGCTATGTCTTCGACTACGAGAGGAAAGTTACATCCATGGACTTTGAACAAATAACGGTGGGTCTAACGCTAAACAAATAAACATATTTAATAAGTAGACCTCGACCATATTTATTTAATTTTAATCGTACATTACCCTCATTATTATTTATGTATTTTCTTCGAGAAACCTCATGGTTCCTTGAAATTGCCATCGTAAAAGGAAATTTAAAAAAAATAAAAATTGACCATTCTTCCATGTGAACATGAACATCTTAAAGATAGTGGCTATTTCATGGACATGACAATAACCTGCAAGCAACTCTAAATTAATTTTGCATATATAAATTTAGAATTTCATGTGGAAAAGATAAAAACTATTTATTATTTTTGGGACAGTGAAATCTGAATATAATATAAATATCTCCATAGAACTTCAATTCCTTCTAAATTTAATACAATATAATTTGTTGGCACTACCATCTTGTGTCCAAAATTTCAAAAAAAAAAAACATTTTATAACTTAGGAGGACTGTGATTGATATACACTAGAGGAGTTCATCAATAAACCCTAGGTTTGAGTAAGAAAGGGAACACCGGCGGCGAGAAAGACCGGCAAGATGATATCGGAAAATTCGCCGGAATATTCCTCATCGTCGGCGCCACGGCGTATTCTAGAAGCCCTTGTGGCTGTCGCCGGTGATCAAACGCCGGGTCGGAAAAGACCCTACTCCAGGCCTCTTTTTGGGCTTCATGGGCCTGTACGACTTGTTGGGCTTTCATATGTTAATGGGCTCCGATATTTTATATATATAATATATATTAGTATTTACGTAGGACACGAGGAATCAATATCTAGACCAAATCATCAGGAATATATATATATATATATATATACATGATTGTACATATGCACATGCATGTATATATTTATGGATATATAGAGTGTATATATATTTGTATATGATAAATTTTGATTACGTTAAAAAATTATCGTTTTCAATTAAAAAATAATACCATATTTTTCGATATGGTACCGCTCGAACTCGATAACTGTACTGAGACGCTCTCGCCGACTTGATACTCTGAGCCGTGTTCTTGGGACCCACCACACTTGCCACTGCCACGTGGAAACCCACATGCGGTTAAGCGAAAGTTATATGTGGACAGCTAACAAAGACCAAGAGTCAAAGCAACTGATTCTGGTTTCCTGTGTCGTGTTATTCTAGGAAGAGAGATTCGGCGATATCTGCCCTGCAATGGATGAGGATGATAAGACCAACCCATCTCAGATTCATAGGTTTCTCATCGTTTACGCCATGAAAGCCCTGTTTTTTTTCCCCCTGTAATCTCTGCTGTTTGTGATGATTCAAGCTTCTGTTTGTAGGTATAAGGTTTTGATTTACTGGTTTTCTCTCGAAATCTTTCAACATTTTCTATTATATTTTCAGTTCGAACGCGAAGTTACTCATGTGCTTATTTTGCGTCCACCAGGTGTTCGATGGTTTTCTCAAGTGTGTTTTTGGGGGAACGTTTTTGATGTTGGTATCAGAACTTTTGCGAAAAGTTAGAGATGAACCGTCATTTAGTTCACGCCCTGATATAGCCATCGATTTTGGAGTGTGAAAAATGAACCATGACCAGTTAGTGTGCTGGCACCGTTTTGGATTAGGTGCCACAGTATCTTCTAAACTTATGCAGTGTGTTTTCTATGCTATGATTTACATTGCCATGCGATTCATGAAGTTGTAATCTTTATATGTTTGAAAGAGTTTCTTTTTTTTAAATCATGCTTTGTCTGTGATGGTAAATAGAACGAAAACACTGACTTGGACAGTCTTAAGGCCTTGAGATTACATCTTTCTCTCACTCTGCATTCTGGTGCATGAACTCATGGTCACTACAACAACTGATCATCTACAGGCTGATTACTGTGGTACTTTGTGTCTTCAAGCGTCTTCTCACATTGATTTGAATTGAAGTTTTGTGATTTCTGCTCACACCATGTCTCAGATCTGTGAAGCTGAAAACTCAAGAATTTGCAATGTTGGATTCAGATATGAGTTGCATCTAGTTCTCGGCCCGTGTTATCTTATCCTCTTGTCTCCTTAGCAAGAACGTCATGCTTGCTTCTTTACTTTGGTATAGTTCTATCTAGTGGCAATTTATGGCTTTTAAAAACATGAGGTTTGCTTTCAGAGATATCAGCAATCCGGTAGTTGATGCGGGGTCTTCTGACTCAGGCAGGAAGAGGAAACTACTAGATGGTGTATTGGAACTTCCCCTGCCAAAACATGTTCGCCTTGAGCAAACTTCTATTGATGATCCCTGTTCTCCATTAGACAGGTTTCTCAGTAAATCACCAGAGACTACAGAATCAGATATGGCTATTGACCACAGCTTTTCTGGGGATTATGACTTTGCAGAATGCTCCAATTCCACATACGAATCTAAGATCGGTAAAACTTTGTCTGATGGAAGTTCTCCTTTTGAGGTCATATGTGATGACCTTGCTTCATCAAGCACTGACTGTATATCATCCAAAGATTATGGAAAAACCCAAGCGAGTCAAGACCTAAACCAGCTTGAGTTCCTTAGTTCTGAGTTTGCCATGGATGGTTTCGACCAGCTCCAGGATGAAGACGCAGATGCAGGATCTTACCTCCTCTCATCTCCAAGATTGAGTGACAGCTCCCAAGGTAATTGAAATCTGGAAAGACAACAACAATGATTAAATCTTTTTTTTTTTGAATCTTTTAGTGTTATTTGTTGCCATGGATGCTACAAGTGATTCAACGCTGGATGCAGATGCAGATACAAGGGAACCGACCATTGATCAAGAGTTCGAGCAATACTTCTCTTCGCTTATGATGTAGCAGCTACCACCACGATGGTTTGTAAATACTGGGATCCAAGAACAAGATGGTTGTATGTGCAGAACACGAGTTTGGTTTTTAAGACATTTGGATCCTGTAAACTTCCTGCCTCCTGCCTGTGATCTTCCTCTTTGTGTATTCCAAATCTTCCTACTTTGATCTGTAAATTATATGTTCTCTCTCTTTCTTCATGTCGGAGATAGTCACAAATCCTAAACGAACAATACAACACAGCAAAACAAAGAACAAAGAATGATTCCTTGTAAAAATCGAACCTTTTCTGTAACCCTCAATCGAACACCTTAAAAAGAGAAAAAGAGAGAAGCGAAGAACAAAGAAGCAAAATACCGGTGATGGATGATTCAATAGATTGACGAACACAACGAGAAAAACTGTAAGAAGCCTGAAAAAAGAATAGTACTTTTTTGAACAAATTCGAATGCAATACAAACCAAACAAAAAAAAAATCTGATATAGAAGTACCTAAACCCTGAGAAACATCTATATACAAACACTGTATAATACCCCCACCCCCAAACAGAGACCGACGAGACCAAACCCTAGAACCCTAAGCCCAAGCTTCTCGTCGAGGCTGCGCGTAGAACAAGCTCTCGAGATCCGGCGGCTGAAAAAACCCATTCCTCGGCGGATCTCGCTTCATCCCCACCATTGATTTCTTCCTCGGCGGCGGCGGACAAACCGACGCCGTAGGGATTCGATATTTTCTGCTTCTCGGCGTCGTGCACCCTTCCTCCACCATCTCCGCCCTCTCTACCGCCTCCATTGTCGGACCTTCTCCGTCGCTTGATCCGTTGGAATCAGGAATAAGAATCGTCGGAAGAAATTTTGCAGAGGAAAATTCGAAGATACAGAAGAGGCGGTTCGGGTTATATACATGTATAAAGCGGAGATTCCTATTTTTTTTTTAATTTTCAAAATTTTGAAAATCTGAAATTTTGGGAGGGAGAAAGGAACGTTCATGTTTCCTGGCGAAGCTTTTTTTGGGCGTGTTCGATATCTGATCGGACGGTGGAGGATCCTCGACAGCGGAGTGTGAGCTGGAAATGATGACGTGGCAGAAGTTTAATGGCTGACGATAATTTGTTATAATACGCGTGACCCCACCGTTACCGACGCTCCCACTCTTGCTCTATTATTGCCATTTTCATTTTTTAAATTCGCACATTGCGGCGACAACTTGCGCGACAAGTCGTTCAAATTTTGTAGCTCCTTTTCTTTTTGTCTTTGAGGCACAGTCTTAGTCTTCTTTCACTATGTGAAAAAGGAGATGAAATATTGACAGGCTACGATAAAAGTTGCATATTCATGTTTATTTGGTTCTCATACCTAATTTGAAGCCATATGGTAGTAAGTCAGGTATATAAAGTTTCTATAAAGATTTTACTTTGAAGATGACTGTTGCATCATATCTGAAAGGCCAAAATCAAACTACAGAAATCAGTTTTATCAAAATTGTAATGAAAGGGAAAATGAGAAGGCACAGTGTTCACAACTTTTTTCTATCATGAAAATGATTGTTCAAGGATCCATTTCATCGTTGATTTTTTCTGGTTATCTAATGGTGTATATGTTGTATTTGCAGCTAGAGAAGATATGATGAATTTGAGAGATGGCTTAGGAATTGGTGATGAAAGAGATGATGTGGTTGATATGGCCAATCGGTTCTATACTGTATGTTTAATGTACATAGTGTATAGAGATTAGTTTTGTAGGCGTTTTCAGTTGAGTTTTCCCCTCTCTGACTCAAAATGTATTTTCTACAGATTGCAGTTCATCGAAATTTCACAAAAGGACGTAAATCCGAGCAAGCATTCATAAACCAAATCGAACGGGTACGATATACTCTACTGATCCTTGAAAGTCAATTGATGACCGAGTACACAAGATAAAATCTATATAAAGTTAAAATCTGAAACTGCGGTTAGATTGGTATACACCTGGTTTAACCCAATAAGCAGAGTAGGACCGGTTCAATAGATTCTTGGTTTTTGGTTAACCATCCTTAAACCAGTCTAAAACCCGCTGATTCAGGAAGTGGCAACCAACGACCATGGATTCTGGCTAGGAGCGAGAGGACAAGGGTAAATACCCGGAAATCGGGTATCCATGGATTCGGATATTTACGCCCATCCCTATTTCGGCAACCCTTTTTTTCTTGGAAAAAAACCCTATGATCCCTGCTATTTTTACCCATACACTTCTGAACTGATATCCTCTGATCCTTTGTTCATCATCTTCTTCTTCTTCATCTTGGAGTGAAGATCATATAATGCAGAGTAAATGGCTTCGAACTGAGAGTGAGACTTGTCTCCAATGACAAAAACATGTGTCTGGTCCCCAATCTGAATCCAGCTACAACCAGGCTGTTTCTTCATCCCTTTCTCCTTCATCCTCAACCTCATTCCTGCAGCTTCTTTCCATTTCCCACACGAAGCGTATATATTAGACAGCAACATATATGTCCCTGCATCACCTTGCCCTGTCACTAGAACTCTCTGTTCCACTTCCTTTGCGATACCCGCTTCGCCATGAACGCTACACGCAGAAAGGAGAGCTCCCCATATGGAACCCGATGGCTTAATCCCTACCCGGTTGATGAACTCGAGCACATCTTTCAATCTACCTGCCCTTCCACAGAGATCGACTAAACATGTGATATGATCTTCTCTCAATTGTAGGGAACCGTCTTTCACTAGCTCCTCGAAAAAATTCATTCCTTTATCTACCAATCCGCTGTGGCTGCAAGCAGAGAGTAAGTTCAGATAGGTTACCTCGTTGGGTTTGAACCCGTTTTTTCTCATCTGATTATACAGCTCGATTGCTTCTTTCCCGTGCCCGTGGTGTGCATATGCAGCAATCATTCCGTTCCATGAGATTAAGTCCCTCTGGCTTGCCAACCCATCATCAAAAATTTTCCTGGCAACAATCAGTTCGCCGGTTTTTGAATACATGTTGATAAGAGCTGAGGTCACAAGTTCGTTCTTTTGGTGGACCGACTTAGAAATCACTTGGTGAATCTGCTGCCCTTCCACGAGCCCAGCCAAGTCGGTACACGCACTTAAAACGCTCAAGTAAGTTCCTACGTTAGGCTTAACCGATCCATCCCTTAACATTTTCGAGAAAACCTTCAATGCCTCTTCACTTTGTTTTTTCTCGACGTATCCCGTAATCATCGTGGTCCAAGAAATGACATTGCGCTCGGGCATTCGGTCAAACAAATTCCATGCCCGGTTTACTTCCTCATTCTGAATAAACCCTGTGATCATTGTATTCCATGAAGGCAGGTCCCTTTCGGGCATTACTTGAAAGAGCTCGTAAGCCTCTTCTAGCCTCTTGTTCCGTGTATAACCCGTGATCATCGCGTTCCAGGAAACAATGTTTCTTTCGGGCATACGATCAAAAACCCGCCTGGCTTCGTCGATTCTACCGTCATTTGCCAAACCGGAAACCACATTCGTCCACGAAATGACATCCCTTTTGGGCATTATTTCAAAAAGGTTCATCGCCTCTTCTGTTCTCCCACGTTGCACCAGCGCCGCAATCATGGTGTTCCATGAAACAGTGTTCCTTTCAGGCATTTTATCGAACAGTTCATATGCCTTATCAAGTCTTCCATTCTGTGCGTACCCATTGATCATAGTATTCCAAGAAACGATATTTTTCTCCGGCATTTCATGAAAAAGCATCTCGGCTTCCGGAAATCGCTTCAGTTTCAAGTATGCGTTGAGCATGGCGGTCCAAGTCACCACATTTTTCTTCGAATCAGCCCTATAGAACAGTTGTCTGGCCTCATCCATAAACCCTAATCGGATATACCCAGTGATCAAAGCCGACCATGCGATCACATCTCTGTCAGGCAATTCGTCGAACAGTTTGCGTGCTTCGCCGATCCTTCCTTCCTTGCTCAGCTTCGTGACCAGCCAGTTAGATCGCGCCACGTGCGAATTGGGTCTGTAGTCCTCTCTTCTGGGTGTCGGCGTTCCGGAATAGTCGAAACAGCGATTAGACCGTACGAGTTTAAGTCGTGTGGATCGGACATAGGTCGAGATGGGCACAAGCTGGGCTCTTGTGTAGAGATTCTTCAGCTCGGACGAGGCGCGAGATTGCATAGCCAATTCGCCAGAGTCCGACCCTTTATTCCCTCCCGATCTTCTGCGTACTAAAACGACAGTAATCTATGCAGATCAAAATGAACAGGAAGAAGACGACAGTAACATTCCTGAGATTCTAATCCAGTACTTCGATGATTTCGGATTTCGGACAAGGCGGAGTCTTACTTAAACTCTGTAGGCGTTTTCCTTTGCAAAGTTCTCGTAGTGTGTGTTTGCTCTGAGATAAGAAGACATACAAATGGGTGGAATTTACTTTACAAATTACAAATGAGAAAAATTTTCCCAGCAATTTTCTCGGGCAAGAAAATCTCCATGTTGAAGATTCAGTTCATTTTCCCGGCTAATCTCGCAAGAGCCGAGTACGTGCCGCAACAGCCACTCACCAAACCGAATACTATGATGGAAATGCATATCCCGATCTGAACCAGACAAAAATGGCCAAAAGAATCAAATGATTTTCCCGTTTAGAAATCAAAATCAGGGCACAGAGCTTACTTGCGCGTTACTCAATCTATGCTTGAGGATACTGAGATAACAGAGGCAAGGGAAGATAATTGCCTGCACAAAAAACACCAATTGTTACACCAAAGCGGCAACAATGGTTGCACATATACATACATACATACATACATACATACATACATACATACATACATATATATATATGTGTGGACTTACTACAAGCATTGCGAGAAATGATCCGACCAAAGCGGCGACGATGGCTGCAGTCACAGCAGATAAAAAAAGGGTAGGGGTTAATCACAAGTTGTGAGACAGGTTTCTTGCGAAGGAAGATAGAAGAAGAGAGGTTTAAGATCAATTACCAAAGAAAGGAACGGTAAGAGCGACAACTAAAGTGGAGACGACTAAGGTTGTTCTGAAGAGCATAGAGACGCCGTCGGATCTCATCCTGGCCAATGGCATGAGCTCTTCTAAGCTCAGCACTATCGGAGTTATCGTCAACGCGTATTTCGTCATCGGTGTTATAACCTGAAAAAACGTATTAATGGAATCTAACATATTTGACATCTACCCAAATTTGTATAGTTACGAGGGCGCAAAGGGTTTGTGCCGCCCCCAATTCGAAATTCAATTTGAGAAGGGATCATATCATCCAAATCATATGGTTTATCCCTGCTTTCGGGATTAGTTTGGACCTTGATTCATGATACCTGAATTAAAAAAAAAAACATATTATCCGAGATCTCAGGTATTCATTCATCCACGCGACGAATATTGTATATCGACGGGACGAGTACGAGTGAACACGGGTCGGGTATCTACGATCTTTAGAGTACGCGAATCCGAATTCGAATCTAAATATTTGGATTCCGAATTATATTATCTGCCAGATAACTTTCAGATACCTACACTGCAACACCCGAGTCCTCACCGCATCCTTAGGGTGTCCGAAGTTCAACTACCTGATCCTCATCAGGATGAGATCGGGTAATCTAAGTCGAGAAACTCGAGGAGACGAGGCCAAAATCGAGAACCCCGGAAAATTTGGATATCTGACTCATGTTCACCCCTAATAATTAGTTATACTGCGAGTCATTGTCCAACGAGTTCATCGGGATATCTTACCGCTGTCCAAACTGCGAGTTTAGATGACACAAACTGGCTAGGCATGTTCAATGTGAACTGAGATTGAATCGCCTCTCCAAACATTGAATATCCGCAGATCGCCACTGCTATGTACAAGAACGTGCAGAAAGTGAAGCTGCAGAAATAGAAAGAGAGAATGACAAAAAAAATCCATCCATTAGCCTTTCTTGCGTTACAAGTTACTGAAGCTTTTGTCCATAAACAAAACTAGGGCAAAGAAGAGTAATGTTATCTCACCTGGTGACAAGCACAAGGGGAAACTTTGAAGTCTCTCTCATGGAAGAGTAGATGTTGGGAAGCACAGAGTGACCGGAAAACCCGAACCCGAAAATTCCGATAGCGACGGGTAAGTTACCGAGATTCAGAGCCTCTCCGCCCGTGTGAAACCCGACTCCATCCACCACTCCGACCCAAACGAGGCAGAGAGCAAGCAAAATGGAAGATAACACTCCTCCAACTGATCGAAACAGAACAGAAAATTAATGATTCAAAAGGCTTAAGCTTAGATTACAAGAGACATTGATGAAAATGGGGAAAGATTCTGGTAATGAAACCTGAGAGGTATGACAGTAAGCTAAGGTCTCTAAGCCACACTGTCGGAAGGACAATCAGAGTGGTTAAGACAGCAAAGATCTGCTTAGAATCAAGAAATACTCCGAGGATGGTGAAAGAAGTGTCCGGGAAAAGGCCTGACAAGTTATCGCTCATCATGATAATGTATTCCACACAAGCTGCCTATCGAACAAGGAACAATCTCAGCAATAACAGAAAAAAAAAATCAGAAATTTCAGTAGATGGGCATGTATACTTACATAGAGCTCCACGTACAGAAGTGTCTGCAGTTTCAAGATCAGAAGTAGATTTCAGAAACTAGAACTCTGAAAACGTTGAGGAGAAAGCTCCATTTTATTGAAATCTTACCGAGATGATGAAGCGGCCGGCGATGCCAAAGGCGGCCTGGCCGATGTCGGGGTAAGTGTGGAGGCCGGGAGAACTTTCCAGACATCTTTTCAGGAGAATTCCGGTGTAACAAGTGATGATACCGAAGAACAAGAGTATGAACATTCCCAGCCACCCGCCTTCTTTGACAGCGTAAGGCATTGTCAGTAAACCAACTCCACACAGAACATTGATTCCTGAAACAGTGATGCCAATTGCCATGAAACATTGTCTGAATAGAAACAAAAAAAAACCGTTAGAGCATATGATCTGAGGGTTCTGATAGATATAGTTTCATCGTATGATTTCTTCGATCGTCTTTACCAACTCCAAATCCATCTCCAGACATTTTTTTTGGATAACCAGATAGAATAATCTCGGGATTGAGACTAGCCATGTGATTTTGAATATACGCCACATCTCCAAACTTGAAACTCGAATTCGGGACGGGACAAACGTTTTGTACCATTGTTTCACCAGTTGAACTATCTTAGTTTGGGTCCATCTCCGGACATTAACTACAAAAGATAACATGTATTACCATTGAGAACGGATTGAGAGAATGAGCAGAGGTTCGCTGCTGGTAATGGAAGATCGGTGACAGAGAGTTTGAGCTGAGAATATGGAAATGGTGGTTTGTCTTGTAATACTGCAGACGTTGGAACCTCGTCTTTAATGGAGGGTGATTGAGAAAGAAGGGGTTTGCTTGCGGAAGAAGAAAATGACCCGAGAGTCGAACTTTGACGCCTCTTGAGGAAAGACGAGATCGAACTGCTTTGAGGCAGGAAACTCACCGCAGGTGGCGTCATTCCGGTGAGCAGATCCATAGATTGTCTGAAAATTACAGAAAAGGGAAAACCCTAAACTGAAATCAATCATTAAAGATAATGTCATACAATTCAAGAACACATGACCTAAATCAAAATCCACCCTTAATCATCTCCCCCGACGTTCCAGATTCCGATCAAATGATTCTGTGACAAGATGAATCCGAAGAAGAATCGACATACCGATAGCTCTGAGGCCAAGGAGCGGGATTGTTATCGGATTGGTTTCGCGAAACCGGCGAAGTGGAATCGGAGTTTTCGCAGTGACCGTCGTCGTCGTCGGAACAAGCGAGCTCGGCCTGGTTTTCCTCGTCATCTGTAAGAAACGAATGATCCCTGTCGTGTCCGAATTCGTCGTCTAGCTTCATCTTCCTCCCGTCTTCGATCTCAAATCTCCAATCACTTTTCTAAAGAATGTGTTTGTTTTCCCAGATTTTCCGATTCTTGTTTCTGTTCTTAGATAAGAAACCCTCTGGAAACAGAGGAAGCCACAACGGTTTTAAGACAGAACAGGAAAATGTGAAGGGAATAGAAAAATTGCATAGGAAGACTCAAGAAAGAGACGCGAGTTATTCGGAGAACGGGAAGATCTTGTTTGTTTCATTTACGTCTGACACGTGGCATCTCGTCAGCGAGTGAAAGAGTACTTACTAAATGTAGCATTTTAATAATTTATATTACGGGATAATAGTAATACTACTCAGACATACATAGATGATTTATTAAGCTAAGCATAATTCGGTTCGGTATTACAAAACCCGGTTTAGAAATGCCGGTTAAGGGCATCGACCTTACAAAAGGGAGGCTTTCTCGGGAGAGAAACCGCGAGAAAAAAAAAACTTTCTCGGCAACCAATCAGGTCAATTCGCCGATTAATCTCGCGACGGCTGAGTAAGTGCCGCAGCAACCGGCGACCAAACCGAATATTATGATGAGAATGCATATCCCAACCTGAAACAGAAAGCGATTCAAGGACACATATGAGAAACCAAATCAATCGAGAACACAGATTAGGGCACAGAGACAAGACACAGAGAACTGTTCTTACTTGCGTGTTACTCAATCTACCCTTGAGGATACTGAGATAACACATGCATGGGAAGATAAGTGCCTGCAGAAATGTTTTGATGAGGCATTGGAGAAGAAAAAAACCCTAATGAGATCGTTTCTTTCGTTTTCATCTTATTACTTTAAAAAAGGATTTCTAGACGGAATCTTCGAAGAAATATGAAGCGAGGAACTCAGATTCAGAAACTTACAACAAGAACGGCGAGAAAAGATCCCATCAAAGCTCCCACGATCGCTGTCATTACCAAAAAAAAAAAAAACAGGTTTTGGTCGCATCGTGATTGTAATAAGGCATGTTTTTCTTGGGCAGGAATCAAGAAGAAGAAGAGAAGATGTGTAATCATTACCGAAGAAGGGAACAGCAAGGGCCACAACAAGAGTAGAGATGACCAAGATTGTCCTGAGAAGAATCGATGAACCGTACGGTTTCATCTTGGAGGATGGCATCAGTTCTTCCAAGCTCAGCACCACCGGAGTGATCGTTAGCGCGTATTTTGTCATCGGTGTCACGACCTGATTATACGCATGATGAACAAAGAAAAAACCGTATATACGGATGCATATATATACACACATACACAAATATATATATCGCTGAGCTTTACAGAATCTTACCGCCGTCCAAACGGCGATCCTAGACGTAAGAAACTGTTTAGGCATATTCAGAGTAAACTGCGATTGAATCGCGTCGCCAAACATTGTGTAGCCGCAGATCGCTACACCGATGTACAAGAACGTGCAGAAACCGAAGCTGCAGAAAGAACAACATGCTTCAGAAGATGAATGGAAGAGTGAGATATACATAGATCCGTTACTGTTTCTTGCTACACAAGAAAAGAAAAACTCTTGAGAAGAAGACTGAATCACCATATCACGAGAACCAGAGGAAACTTGGAGGGCTCTTTCATGGAAGAGTAGAGGTTTGGGAATACAGAATGACCCGCAAACCCTAACCCGAATATTCCGACAGAGACAGGTAAGTTTGTGAGGTCCAGAGCTTGTCCGGTGAGGTGAAACCCGACCCCATCGACCGACCCGTTCCAGAGGAGGCAAAGTGCCAGCAAGATCGAAGATAACACGCCTCCGACTAAGAAAACAACACACGATTCTTATACAGATATCATGTACGAGAACTGATAAAATGGTAAACTATGGTTTGGTTACAAGAAAAAAACTGAAAGGACAAAGAAAGAACCGATCTAGTTAAAGTAGAACCTGAGAGGTAGGAGAGTAAGCTAAGGTCTCTGAGCCAAACTGTCGGGAGAACGATGACAGTAGTTGCGACAGCGAAAATCTGTGAAGAATCAAGAGATAATCCAGAGATCCTCAAGGAAGTGTTTGGGAAAAGACCCGACAAGTTATCGCTCATCATGATTATGTATTCCACGCATGATGCCTTAATGAACAAAGAAACTGTGTCAGTAGCAAAGGTGCACATAGAAATTTGCAATCTTTTTGTGAAATACTGGAGACTTACGTATAACTCCAGGTACAGAAGTATCTGCAACAATTTTTGAAACAGATGCGGAGTTCAGTCCTCAGTGTCGGAAATCGGAAACATGATGATGATGATGATGATGATGACGACATCTGAATCTAAGATAAAATGGTATGGTGATCGGAAAACTTACAGAGATTATAACACGACCGGTCATGCCAAATGCAGCGTGGCCGATATCAGGGTAGGTGGTAAGACCAGGAGAACTTTCAGCACATCTCTTCAAGAGGATACCTGTATAGCAAGTGATTATACCGAAAAGCAAAAGAACGAAAAGTCCGATCCAACCCCCTTCTTTGAGGGCATAAGGCATAGTCAGCAACGCCAGTCCACACAGAACATTGACTCCTGCAATAATCAAGAGAAGGAGATTGAAGAACGAAGAAGAAGAAGAAGCTGATAGAGAGAAGTTTCAGAGCAACAAGAAACTGAAATCCAGATGCGACTGATGACACCGGTTATAGGTATATTACCGTTGAGGACGGATTGTGAGAACGAGCAACGGTTTTCTGGTGGAAACGGGTGATCGGCGATGGATAACTCGAGCTGAGAAGAGATGAATTCTATGGCAGATATCAGAGCTGAGGTTCGGATTTCTTCTTTGCCGTGAATGGATTGGGAGATAAGTGGCTTGCTTGCTGAAGAAGAAAACGAATCTTGACATGAATTCTGACGCCTCTTGCAGAAAGAAGAATCCGCATTGCTAGATAGTGTCCGAGAGCCGCTTCGAGGAATGAAACTGACGGTAGGAGGTGTCACTCCCGTTAACATGTCCATAGATCGTCTGAATTGCCCAAAAAGGATAGAATCTAAGTCACTGTGTGGTTTAAAGTCTAAAGGGCACTGAACATTTGTTCATACACATCTCTAAATTCTATCCAAGAAACCTACAGATCCAAATTCAGAAATCTGCAGATCTAAACAGATCAAGATTAATGAACAAGAATGAGATACTGACAAGATTTGACTGTCTGAAAACTCTGTCATAGAATCCAGAATCTCCGAGAGAATGAGTGGAAACTGAAACAATATGAAGAGATAGAGTTTCAAATTACCGATAACTCCGAGGCCATGGAGAGGGACTGTCATCGGAGTGGTTTCTGGATAATGGAGACGACGAGCGGTAGTTTCCATCGTCGTCTTCGTCGTCAGAAGAAGCCAGTGATGATTGTTTTTCCTCGTCATCTGTCAGAAACGAACTATCTCTGTCTTGCCCTAATTCTTCGTCCATCTTCATCCTCGTTTCTTGGTCAATCTCAAGACTCGAAAATGAAGTATATCTTTATGAGAAAAAAACCCTAATGGAAGCAAACTATGAAGACATAACAGGCAATGTTTTTCGGACAAAACACACGAAAACGAGAGAGAGAGAGAGAGAGAGAGGAAACAGATTTCTCTTCGCCAACAATTGTTTGTGTGAGTTAACAAAAAAAAAAAAAACAAATGTTTGTGTGTGGTAGTAGTGCTCTGCTTCTATGTCCGATTTGTTTTTTCTTTAATAAACCCTTCGCCCTCACGATTTGCGGTCACGTCGATGTCGTTAGATTTGTATTATGATATTTTTCGTAATAAAAAATTAAAACATAAAATATTTCAATATCCTGGAATTGAAGTATCGTTCACATGTCAAAGATGTTAGGAAGATGTCTAGTTCCACTTCCACATGTTCCTATTTTTTTTTTTAAATAGAACCTGAAGTCTCGCCGACACGGCAGCTTGGGCTAATAAAAAAATATCAAGAACGTTTCTAGCGTTACAACTATAAATTTCTCGCAATAAATTTCCCACCACATGATATATATATATATATCTATACTTATACACATATACATATATGTATATACACGTGGGTGGCTGTTTGTAATACATTACAGAGAGAAATGGATTCTTTTTCTTTGACAAAAAAAAATGGATTCTTTTTCATTTACAATATTATATAGTCTACGCTTTCCATTAGAATAACCAATAATATGTTTTCACATTTTCGTGTGTATATGCGTATTGTTGCTGTAGTTAGCAGAAACCGGGTAGCCAGCTTTGTGATGAAGCCCATTTATCAACAATTACATGTAACGTAATACACACGTGCACGTGCAAGCATAAGCATAAGCATAAGCATTAGCATAAGCATAAGCATAAGCATTAGCATAAGCATAAGCATAACCCATATATAAGAGGGAAGCATGAACTGGTTCGGTTTGCTTAAAACGAACCGGTCTTCTGCCGGTTATATATCAGGAAATTTCTCATGAAAACAAGAAAGAACAAAAAACAGTTGCTCATGGCGTATCTACAGATCAAAGATCTTAAATTTACATGGTTCGTGTTTAGGGGAGATGTTGTACACAGATCATATATTATATGAATAATATTAAATGTAATAAAAAGATTTTTATTTGTCGATCTGGTTAAGCTTGCCGAGTCCATTGCAGTTGGCGCAAACGATCTGGGCTTGATCCTTCCGTGCTGCGTTCGCCCTCAAAGACGACCCCGATTTCCTCACGAATCCCGCCCCGTCGCATTCCGGACACCTATCGATCGAGACGAATTTTATATGATCGGTAAATAAATGTATAATAAAATTGAATCTATAATCATAAGCAAATTAAACCAATCATACCCTTACAATGTGTCCGCCCACAAACACGTTTTTAAATCAGTAACATTTATACTTTGCAAGTGCAAACTGAAGATGTTACGAAGCATCTATGAGCTAATCGCCCCACCATGTGAATCGGTTTAGTGGGCATCAAACCGGTTCGAACCGGATCTAATCCAATCAAACAAGCCGAACCGGAACAGAAACAAGAACAGCACTAGATGTATCAACAATGAAAGCCAAGGAGACCTAACAAGGAAAAAGCAGATAACAATGGGAAAGGTGGGTACGTACGTGTCGGAACGCTTGAAGATGATCGGAAAAGCGGTACCGATAAGGGCTACAGCGACGGCTCCGGCGATCAAGTAGGTGGTTCCGTCGGCGGAGACATCTCCGACGGCGGAGACCACGGCGGAGGACGCTCTCTTCTTGAAAATCAAACTCCTCGGTTGCAGAGAAACTCCGGTCGATTGCTTCAGTGAATTCGCGGACAGGAACAGCGTCGTCTGCAGAGCCGGTGATGTCGCCATATCTGTCGCTGGAAAGAAGAAGACACTTTTTAGGGTTTTGGTGGGGGAGAAATGGGAGAGTGAGATTCTTCTATTCGAGCATGGGAAATATGCTTTATAAGCTTCCAGAATTCAGAATCTAGTTGCTGACTCATGTGGATAACGCTTGATTGATCTGAACTCAGTTAGATTTCTTGATGTTTTCTGTGGATAAGATGGGTCCCATCGGGATGAGTTGTGAAGCCCAAAGAGAAAAGATATTGGGCCTATATTGGGCCTGGAAGGCCCAACATATCAGTAGATGAGACACGTCATCGTCTCGTTCGTCCTTTGAAAGGTCGACGAGGTTTAGAATGTTGCAGGGTCTTCTAGAACCTTCGTCACTAGAATAGAGAGAGTCTTGGAAAGACAAAATACGCGACGCCGTTTCTTTAGGCTTCTTTTTGTTTTCCTTGCAAAAGAGCTTCTTTCAATGGCGAAAGACGGACCCAACTGGGATGGACTGCTTAAATGGAGTCTCTCTCACGCCGACGGTACTCGACCTACTCGCCAGTTGAGGTTCGAATTTCATTTTGGTTTAGATTGATTCCGTCGTTATTTTCTATGATCTCGTTAGTTTTCAGAATTGGATTGGATGATTGATTGATTTTGTGGAAACTGCGTGGCGTTGAATCATTTGCGTATGAATAACTGATTCATGGAACATAATTCGAATTTAGTTCCGTCTCAGGTTGGGGTTTTTTGTTTTTTCCTCAGTCTGCGCAGTTTATGGGTTTAATCAGATTGGATTTGAGCGAAAGTTCTGTAATTGATGACATGTGCTTATTCCATTCATTCGGATATGACCTTGATGTTCTCTTGGAGAGTTACATCGAGCATAGAACATGTTTTAGTCTTTACCACGAGTCCTTTCAGCTCGAATTCATTAGAACAAATCGGTAGCTTTTCTGATTGTAACTTACAAAGTAGAAGTTGTTTGTCCGCATCATGCATCTTAGTCCACATGATAGATGTTGATGTTGAGAAGCTCAAGAAAGTGGCAAAAATTTTGATCCCCAGCTTTTGAAGGCTCGTTTTCTGTGAGTGAATCTGATGTTAAAACTTGTACTATTGGGTCTGTGTCTGTTGATAGATCTTTTTTGTTCCGGGTTTTTGTTGTGGTGGATGGTTTGATCCATTAAATTATGTGTTGAGACAGTGAGGAGGATCGAAAATGGTTTACGGAGGCTATGCAGTCACAGACTGTTGATGTGGTCAAGCGGATGAAGGAGATTACGCAGGTTATGCAGACACCTGAACAAGTTTTGGAGGCTCAGGGAGTAACACCTGAAGATATCGAAGGTACTTCTCTTTGCCCGAAACAAAATCTCGTGTGTTCTTTTCCAGTTTGGGTATGAATATTTTATGTCAGTTTTTCCTATCTTTTTGGTCGTTAATTGAGTTTAATACTGTGGTAGATATGCTGGATGAGCTGCAAGAACACGTTGAGTCTATCGATATGGCTAATGGTAAAACCCTTTAGTGCTTTCAACCTCGATTTTCTGTTTCTCTTCTTCATCTTTCGATTTGAGCGTATGTTCTTCTATGAATGTGTTGCAGATCTCCACTCTATTGGAGGCTTGATCCCTCTTCTTGGCTACTTGAAAAACTCCCATTCTAATATCCGCGCAAAAGCTGCAGATGTTGTTAGTACAATCGTTCAAAACAACCCCAGGAGTCAGCAACTGGTTATGGAGGCCAACGGTTTAGAGTCATTGCTCTCAAACTTTACTTCAGATCCAGACATGCATACTCGAACACAAGCTCTTGGTGCAATATCATGTAAGACTTTTTTGGATTATATTACATTTGTACTCTTGCCCCTTCCGTTATGTTGCTTCGACGTCTCTGACCCTGCAACTCGTTTTGGCTTTCAGCTTTGATTCGACACAACAAACCCGGGGTCACAGCTTTCAAACTCGCAAATGGGTATGCTGGCCTAAGAGATGCTTTAGCATCTGATAGTGTAAGATTTCAAAGGTAATCCACAACCACTTCCATTCTGACTGCATCTTTCTGCATTTCCGTTCCACTGAATCTGGAAAGAAGAGAGAAACATTCTCCTCTGTTGCATAACTTTCTGTATGCATAATCACTCTTGTTAATGGCTGCCATTAAAACTGCTTTTCCTCTATGATTTCAGGAAAGCTCTGAACTTGCTCCATTATCTCCAACACGAGAACGACACAGACTGCAACATCGCGAGTGAACTTGGATTTCCCCATGTAATGATGCATCTGGCCTCAAGTGAAGATGCTGATATCAGAGAAGCCGCACTAAGAGGACTTCTCGAGCTAGCCAAGGACAGAAATGATGGTAGTGGCTGTAGCATAGAGAAAGACGATGAGAAGTTGAGGCAGATTCTGGAAGAACGGGTGAAAGGCATAAGCTTGATGTCACCCGAGGATCTCGGGGCAGCCAAGGAAGAGAGACAGCTTGTGGATTCACTATGGAACACATGCTACAATGAACCGTCTTCTCTCAGAGAGAAAGGTCTTCTTGTTCTTCCCGGTGAAGAGGAACCACCGCCTGATGTGGCCAGCAAACACTTCGAGCCTCCTCTCAGAGCTTTTGCTGCAAATCGGAATGCATCTGAGAAGGAGGAACCTCCTAAATTACTCGGACCCGCTCCTTCGACTGGGACAGGCCATGGATCAGACAACCCTAGTTAAGAATTTCCTGTACCAGATTCAATCTCTCCACAGTTTCCTCGCAGGTTGTTTTTATGTGTTTGTCGGATCTGCAGTCAATGAATCTCTGAATTTTTATTGATGGGGTTACTTCAAATCCCAAGTTCCCTCCATGTTTGATCTTCAACGGAGAATCTGAAAAAAAAAATACAGAGACGGATGCACAAAAACAGGGTACACACAATTGCAAAAATACCCTTAAATGTCGATTTCACTTACAGCCTATACCCTCGCACAGTAACAAAAAAACGGCAACATCAAATATACCCTTATAAATGTAGAATCCCTATAATACCCTTCTTTTATTTATATAATATTATAATATACTAAAATAAATAAAATATAGATCTACTTTTTACTCATTTTCT